ACTTTCTTCAATTCAAAGATTCACGTTTTAGCCTTTTTGTTTTCTAAAGATTTAGGTATTTCTATTTTTTTAATACATGGATTTATCGTAGTTTTGTTATCCGAAGTATACGTTATCTTCTTATACCTGTCATTTCATGTCTAAATATTTGAAATAAATAGGAAAGTGGAAATTAAATTTAGCAATTTAAATTACATGTCCTCGTATCGTACTCGTAGTTTTATATTTGAAAGTTGAAAGTGAATTTAACTTTATGACCGTGTCTCATAACAATTATATCTAATCATGTTTTTTTTATGTGAAATAATTCAGATAATGTTTGTTTTGAATTATATGTTCCCGTCTCGTATCCATTCCTATAAGTTTATATATTTTTTTTAATAAATAACACCATTTACATGTAACTAAATATAATTTTAATATATGTAAAATTTCATATAATCGTCCAAAAGTAGAGATTTATACGTCCCAAAGTTGAATTTTTGTTCAATATTTTGAGATTTTCAGAATTAAATATAACTACCAATTGTCCGTAATAACCAAAAAGCAAAACTTATATATCATATTTGTCAAGGATAGTTTAAAATTGTACGTATATGTGAGATAATGTTTGTAGATGTTTATTTATTATATCATTTATATCATACCAATTTGACATTTTATTTTTTTCAATTACATTAAATCATTAAAAATATAATCCATTTATTTTTTAAAAATTGGTAATAAGTTGTTAAAATCATTTAAATGTGATATATCCACTTGTTATTTAGTTTTAATCTTAATAGAAATTCTATATGTTTATAATATCAAAAATGTAGTTTATGATTTGATAAAACAATTATTTAATATTTGATAATAGTAATGATATGCAAATTGCCAATGGATGAAGGTTTATTTTGTTAAGATTGTGTGAAATTAATAAGAAAAAAGAAGTTTAATAATCATTTACTAACGGTTTGACCAAATAAAAATCATTAACTAATTGAATTAATGATAAATTTTGTAGATATCATTTGTGCTATAATTGCTAGATTGATATTTGAATATGAATACTTTTTATGTGAAAATAAGAAATTTATGTGATGTAGAATGTTTATTCGCATGATTTTAGCAAACAAATATTTAATTATTGATTTAGTTAAATTTTATTTATATTTAAAAATTAAATATTTTTTTAAAATTTTATGATATGATCAGTTATGTATATATACTATGTAGAATTTGATTAGTTGATTATTTCATATGCTAACATATTTTTTTTTATCTTTTTTATTTTTCTAAAAAATGTTATCTTTGTTATTTTAGATATGATGATTTTGTTTTATTAGATTTCATTCTATATAAATTATTAATTTCGAAATTATATTAACATATTAAATTAATAATAAATATGTTTATGTATATTCCAAATATATTTGTTTACATATATTTAGTTTTGAATTTAATTGTCCACTTTTTATGGTAAAAGATTATTATGATTTCCATAAATATAGATTGTTTTTGTTTTTGTTTTTTGTTTTTTTGCTGTCATTAATTCTGTTTGGCAACATGTTTAAGTTTCATGACATTTTTTAAAAAAATTAGGGGGTATTTGGCTTCAAGTTGTCCTTCCCAATTAATAGTATAGATATTCCAAAAATAAGTTTCTCAAAGGCCATAATATTGACCAATTAAATAGGTCAAATGATGGAAATATCATAAGGTCCTTATCCAACTTTACATTGCTTATATATATATAGTAAACATGTGTACCAATGGAAAACAATATGCAACAAGATATTTAGGACACTAGTTTAATATTCAAAAGTACACGCATGTAGTAATAATTCTTTGCATACAGTCTTGAGTCTTTGATGAAACTCCCTTCATACTTCTTGGAAATTTCATCAATACATTAGAGTTTTCATAATTAATCCTTAGAAGGAAACAAACAAACTTAAAGTAATATAATTCTTTGTCATCTCTTTAAAAAAAATACTTATCAGCCTTATCTATCTCGTGATAGATTCCAATAAAATTATCATAAACTCATTTTAAGCTCTCGTACCTGCTGTGAGACATGATGACAAAACTATATAAATATCTTGACCTTATCAAAATACTCAATATAGTGTGGACATAAGTTACATATATACCAAATTCATTTACATGTACCCAACCATCTTAAATTTTTGTAAAGTCTCTACCAAAACCCATATAACTAATCAAATTTAATGAACAAACAAACTGATATATAGCCCTATTTTGTTTCACTCATCTTCTTTAGGCTTCATGTAAACCATGAAAACACTTTGATTGAGAGTAATAAGGACCAAAAAAAAAGAGAGACACAACAACTTAAAGGAAAAAAAAAAAAACTAATGACAAGCTCGTGGACATGGATCATCTCTTCAGGATTAGTGGGAGTCATATCACTGATGCTCCGATCAGTATCAAACATCTCCTTCAGCGGAGCTCGCTTCTTTCTCCCTACTTTAAACCCTCTTTTCATCATCAACGGCATCATCTTTGTCCTCGCAGCCACCGCTTCACTCTTCGGCAACGGTTCTGATCGCTCTCCGGCCGCACAACATCACCATGATAATGATAGCTATCGTTATGAACAGGATCAAGATCATCATGACCAATACCGTGACCGTTCTTCTAATGACTCATCCAAATCTTCGTTTGATCAATACAATAATAAGGTTCAAGAGAAAGAAAAGTTTCCGGTTAGGAGTGGAGGAGGATCTTATGGGGTTTCTTCTCCGGAGGTTCGTTTTCCTCCAACGGCGCCGGAGAAACCCGTCGGTATCCGACGTATGCGTCCACCTACTGCTCCTGTCAAGACTTTTTCTCAAGGTATCTATCGATTACGTGCCATCTCAAAATATTTTGACTTTTTCTGCAAAAGAATTTTAAATACCTACAGTATATTGATATTTCGGTTCATATATTTCTTACATAAAAATAATAATTTTTCGACAAAAAAAAATAAAAATAATAATAATAATAATTTTGAAGCCTAGTTTTGTTCCAAAGTTTCAGTTTTTCTTTTGTGTTGTAGTTTGTAGTTTTTTTCTTTTTTACCCAACTAAAAGAATCATATGTTAAACTTTAAACATATAAACCAAACATTTTCTTTTTTTTTGGTTAAGAATTTATCGAAAACCTCAAAAACATAAAGCAAACGGAAAATGGTCAACTAAAAAAAAAACAATTCGAAGATTTTAAGAAATTTAAAAATAATTATGTTTTTTTATAATTAGGGTAAAGAAAGATAAATTATTATTCAGCTATGCATGTAGGAAAAAAATAGAGTTGAGTGATTTCGTAATGAACAATAAATATAACTAATAACTTTGTATATCAACACAGATAACACATCAGGTGACGAGACCATGGAGGAGATGTGGGAGAGAGTCAAAGCCGAGAAACAACCATTGAAACCTAACACTACCTTGCAAGGCACAACAATGCCAACATCTTCATGGCCGTCGCCGCCCTCACCGTCACCCTCACAAGTCAGAAGGCCTACCCCATCACTATCGTCGCTGGCACCATCACAAGCGATGACGCCTACTCCGTCTCTGTCGTCGCTATCACCCTCACCGTCGCGAGCGGGGAGGCCTACTTCATCTTTGTCCTCGCTATTACCGTCACGGTCACCGTCGCGAGCGAGGAGGCCTACCCCGTCCCTGTCCTCGCTATCGCCCTCACCGTCGCGAGCCAGGAGGCCAACTCCGTCTCTTTCATCGCTATCACCGTCATCTTCACGAATGAGGAGGCCTCCTTCATCTCCGGGGAGGCCCGGAAAGAAGCTGATGGAGAGGATTCCATCGTGGGTTAAGTTGAAAAAAGAGTTGTCAATGGGAAGAGACGAGCTCAATTCACGAGTGGAAGCTTTCATTACAAAATTCAAGGATGAGATGAAATTGCAAAGGTCAGAGTCTATAAGACGTTACAAGTCTTTCCGTGGTCGCAGCGATGACAAGTAACATTAATTTTTATATTTCGACATTTAACGGAGACTGCTTAGTCTTCATTGTATCATATGTATGGTTAGATGTATGTTATGGTAAGATATGTAAATCTTGTGACCGATTCCACATATTATACTACTATACATTCCTTGATCAAATGGTCCAAAGTGAGTATGTATCTCAATCTATGGTCATATTGGAAGTCAAGATATGAGTCTTAATTAGTTCCAATCGGCGTGTGGTCACAATTGTTTTGATTATTGGGTCTAATCAAAGGCATGATCACCTCCCCGTATTTTAGTGCTTCAACAAAACACACATATACTAAAAAGGAACTAAACAATGTTTTTGGGCATAAAATAATTACTACGTTGATAAGATTTAACATATACAATAAACTTCTAGTTCTTGACTAGAATGAAAAATAAAAATTAAAAACATACAACTTTTAGTCAAAACTCAAATAATGAAGTGGAAATAACTCGTGCAGCAACAAAATTTAATAATTACGTATAGACTAGCAAACTTAAGTAAATTAGCTAGGAAGACCATGATTAGCAAGAGTTTTATTCGTCTGGCCTATTGGAGAATATGCATGTTTTGAGAGACAAGAGATCACCGCCTTCTACTTTGCCACTTTGGTGTGAATTTAAATGAGGTTGTATGGAATTTGATACTCCATATATAAATTAGGACACCCACATGCGTTATCATCACCTAGACAACAATGTTATTATGTTAATATAGGCATCACAGTCCTCTGCATGTCATATATAAAAAAGAATTACCAACACGAAAGAAATATAATAAGGAATATTAAAAGGAATGAAAAACATAAACATGTATAAAAAAAGTAATCTAATCCCTAATATAAAGTAAAAAAGAAAAAAAAGAAAAGGCTAACTCTTTCAAAATTTCAGGGTAGAAATATAAAGTTACATAGAGTTTGGAATTTATAATTAGTTTCAGGTTTAGAGTTCAATTGTTAGGGTTAGAATTTAATAACACTTAAATCATATAAAGCTTAACGATAATCCCCTTTCTTAACCCTATATAACAGTTTACAAGTAAATCATTAAAAAAGTTGACAAAATTAGGAAGAGAAAAATTATAAAGTTGATAATTAATGCTTTTGATCTGTTTGTTATAGTTATGTTTAAAACTTATAATAACATAAAATTGAAACTCTTGTGCAGTAACATAATAATAATAATAATAATAATAATAATAATAATAATAATAATAATAATAATAATAATAATAATAATAATAATAAATAATAAATAGGAAGAGCAAAAACGAGTAAACGACAATGTTTTAAGTCCTCATGTAATGCCGACAAAAAAAAAAAAAAGAACAAAAAAGTCAGACAAAGAAGATAGATAAGAATTTTCTTGGACGACAAGCATGTTTGACTAGTCACATTTTCTTGAAGCCCAAACATATTTGGTATAGCTCCTCCAAATATATATATAAACAAGTCATTTGTAAATTCAGACAATTCATCAAAGCCTCAAATCGAAACAAGCAAACATGAAAAGCGAAGGTCGTCATCACCAAAGCGTAGTCTCAAGGACGGGAACGATTCATCCGCATGGCTTTAACCCGCGACCAACAAACCGGTTCAATTCACCACCAGATCAACCTACCAAATCCAAAGTGCCATCAGAAGTTACCAACCATCATTCAAATATCAGTGAGCGGTCCAAGTACAGTAATTGCCACGTGTCGCCGGCTATGAAGTCTGGCCACAAATCTAAAGGTCGCCGTAAGCTACAACCGAACAATTGGTGGAGTGAGGATAATAAGCTAGACCGCCTCATCGGTTCGGATTCTTCGTCCGCTAGAGATGTTTTGGATACATTATATGATGTTGAAGATCATGATGAGCATTATTAGTTATATATCATTGTGGCTAGCTAATCATCTCGTTTGAGATGTAATGAAGATTATCGTTGTTTTTTTTTTCTTTTTTTTTTTAAACAATGATAACAGTTATGGGAAGAAATGTAACACTTTTGTATCAATGCAAATTTGAGTTGGAATGATTTAAAGATTATTTTGCATACAATGAAACCAATTTCAAAATATTTATTATAAAACAATTAGTAAACACAAAAATATACATTTTAAAATTAATAGAAATTTCAATAGGTAAATTAAAGCTCGCCATACATGTCAATTATCGATTAAATTATAATATATGTATCATACATTTATTTAAATTTTCAATTTTTTTATTTGAAATTTTAATTTCCAGATTGAGATTGATTATTACTTCTTGTTAAAATGAACTAAGGAGGAAGACAGGTTGAAGAAATGTTTTTCTCTGTATTGCAATGATCGATTACATAGCATATATATGCTTATACAGAATCGCAAGACATAAATACAAGAATATTTGCTATTAAAGTATATACGATATGATTCCCCTAACTTCGTGTGACATGATTATATATAGAATCCCATTACCCTCCCTCAAGCTGGTGCATGAAGGTTGTGAATGCTCAGCTTGCTACGAAAACTCTCATATTGTGGACCACCAAGAGGTTTCGTTAAAATATCAGCTAACTGATATTCAGCTTGAACATAATTAGGAGCAATAATACCTGATTGTATCTTTTCTCGGATGAAATGACAATCATTTTCTATATGTTTCGTACGCTCGTGAAAGACCGGATTTGTAGCGATGTAGATAGCAGCTTTACTGTCACACCGAACTTTCATTGGTTGATCATGTTTGACGCCAAGATCAGTTAGAGCACGCTTCATCCAAAGCAACTCCTTTGTGAGATATGCCATTGCTCGATATTCGGCTTCAGCAGAGGAAAGACTGACTGTGTTTTGCTTCTTCGTTTTCCAGGAGATAGGAGATTCACCAAGCTGAACAAAATATCCTGTGACGGAACGACGAGTAAGTGGACAGCTTGAATACCCTGCATCACACCATCCTGTTATCTGAAAATCTGTCCTTGCCTGTAGCAAAATCCCTTGACCAATGGTGCCTTTGAGATAACGGACGACTCGAAGAGCTGCTTGCCAGTGATCTTCGCGAGGTTTATGCATAAATTGGGCTAGTATATGCACACTAAACGTCAGATCAGGTCGTGTGGCTGCAAGATAGATCAAACGACCAATCAAACGTCGGTACTGTTCTGGGTGTGGCAGCAATGTTGAGGTCGAGAGAGCTAGATTGTGGTTCTGTTCTAGTGGGAAATCAGCAGGTTTGGATCCCAGTAAACCGGCTTCTGCAACAATTTCAAGAGCATATTTGCGTTGCCTGAGATAAAAACCTTTGCTGCTCCTAGAGACTTCAATACCCAAAAAATATTTGAGAGGACCCAAATCCTTCATCTTGAAACAAGAAGCTAAATAATCTTTGAACAGTTGCAACGCAGCTGGTGAATTACTCGTAACGATCATATCATCAACATATATGAGAATGTTGATTTGTATTCCTCCCTTGTCAAAAACAAACAGCGAGTAATCCGAAAGCGATTGAACAAACCCATATTGTCGTAGAGAGGTAGTGAGCTTTTCAAACCAACACCTGGGAGCTTGCTTGAGACCGTATAAAGACTTTCGTAATCGACATACCTTTGTAGCATCCGTAACATGAAAACCCGGAGGAGGTTTCATGTAAAATTCTTCGTCGAGATCACCATGTAAGAAAGCATTGTGCACATCCATCTGATGTACAACCCAATTCCGACCAGCAGCTACTTCAAGAAATAACCGGACAGTTTCCATTTTTGCTACCGGAGAAAATGTATCACCATAATCAACACCTTCAATTTGTTTGTTACCAAGAGCAACCAACCTCGCCTTATAGCGCTCCACAGTACCATCAGCATTATGCTTTACTTTATACACCCATTTGGAGCCAATTGCTTGTTTTCCCGGCGGTAAATCCACAATGGTCCAAGTACCATTCTCCTCCAAAGCATCTACTTATGTACCCATTGCTTGTTTCCACACTCGTTTTTGCATAGCTTGCTTAAAGTTTCGAGGTTCAACAGACTCTGTCACTGCAGCCAAATAAGCTCTATGCGTCTCTGAAAAACGAGTGTTGCCAACATACTTGTGAATTGGATACAGACATGTGCTTGTAACTGTTTGTAGGAGACGAGTTTGAGCAGAATTGGTCTGATAATCATTCAAAGCAGGTGGTCGAGAACGTGACCTTGTGCTTCGACGAAGTGGAGGTTCTAACACAGCGGGTGCTGGGACAGCCGCGACGGGAGGTGCTGGGGCAGCCACGACGGCTGGCGGAAGAGGAGGAGCGATTCTCGGCGGATCCGAATCGGAGTCTTCAGTTTCAGTCGTTGATGGAGACGATGGTGATGAATCGTCGATGTCGGAGGGGGATGATTCAATATCGTCACGTTCTGGAGAAGAAGATGATGATGGTGATTCATCACGTGGTATGTCTAATGGGCCAGAGGAAATTAATGGACCTTGTGAGTTAAAAATTTCCAAAGGCCTAGCTACTTCATCTGTTATTGGGCCTGACGAAAGTGAAGCCCACAAAACCTCTTCTTCTTCCTCATCGTTGTCTTGAGATGAATGTTCAGAGACAGCTCCAAAAGGAAAAACACTTTCATAAAATTTAACGTCTCTAGAGACGAAAAATTCATGCTTCTCAAGATCATACAAACGCCATGCCTTTTTCCCATAGGGATACCCAACAAAAACACACTTACGACTTCTAGCTGCAAATTTATCACCTTTATGTGTGTGATCATAAGCATAACAGAGGCTTCCAAAGACTCTCAAATGACCATAGTCTGGAGCTTGATTATGAATCCGCTCGTAAGGTGTCAAACCATTCAGAACTGAACTTGGTGTCCGATTAATCAGATATGCTGCAGTCAATACACACTCACCCCAAAACTCAATAGGCAAACAAGCTTGAAATCGAAGTGCTCTAGCAACGTTGAGGATGTGGCGATGTTTGCGTTCTACTCGGCCGTTCTGCTGAGGCGTAGCGACACAAGATGTTTCATGAATTATTCCTTGAGTTCGAAAATAAGCACCGAGAGCAACAAACTCTGTCCCGTTGTCGCTTCGTACTCGTTGTACCCTTGCATTGAATTGACGCTCAGCCATGGAGACTAAATTTTTAAAATTAGCTGATGTTTCCGTTTTATCAACTTGAAGATACAACCATACACTTCTCGAATAATCATCAACAATTGTGAGAAAGTAACGAGCACCAGAGTGTGATTGTGTTTTGTACGGTCCCCATAGATCAAGATGAAGAAATTCAAAAATAGAAGTAGTTTTATTGCTGCTCAACGGAAAAGGAGCTCTTGTATGCTTAGCGCGGAGACAAACATCACACGCCTTATTGGAAATTTCAGAAATAACAGAAACATCAAATTTTGACAAAGAACCAACAATTTTAGCAGACGGATGACCCATCCTCTTATGCCACAGCTCATAAGACTTCTCTTGAGACAACACCGATGCGGCTAACTCTTGTCTGCAAAAACGGGAGGTTCCAGCCTCACGTTTCCCCGCTCCAATCATCGTCCTCGAAACGCGGTCCTGGATAACAAGGAATTTGTCAGCTAGCTGGACCACACAACTATTTTCATCCATAAGCTGACTCACTGAAATCAAATCAGTATGAAACCCCTCAACATAGAAAACAGATTTCAACATCAAGTTTGCACCCAATACAACAGTGCCTTCTCGAACAGAAACACGTTCACGACCGTCAGCTAAGATAATCAACACAGGTTGTTCCATAGCTCTCACATTCGTGAGGATACTAAAATTTCCTGTGAGATGATGAGAAGCACCGCTGTCAAGTATCCAAGACGGAGAAGAAGACTTACCCGAAAGTTTTTCAGTGCTAGTGCTAGCGCCACCATTGAGGAGATTCACGAGAGAACGCCATTGTGTGTCACTAAGACCAGCAACTTTATCTTTGTCTTTGTCAGTGAGCACATAGTTAGCACTCTCAGTAGGTTGTGACGGACTAACATAGACAGCATTAGCGTAAGACACACCACCACGACCTCGTCCATGACTGCTTGTAGTCGCTCCACGTCCACGTCCGGAAGATGTGCGAGTTCTTGGTCGATCACCCCACCACTCGGGGTACCCAATCACACCATAGCAGCTCTCGGAGGCATGACCAGCTCGGTTGCAATGTTGACAAAACAAAGCTTTATCATCCCGACGAGACACCGTTTTAGCTTGAATAGCAAAAGCATTTACTTCTTGCTGATCATCACGACTCATGGTTCCATTACGGACGAGATCTTCCTCTTGACGTACAATGTTATACACTTCCTCCATTGATTGAATTGGGACACGTGAAACCAAGCTAGATCTCACGGTTCGAAAGGAAGCATCATCAAGACCAAAGAGAAATTGATGCACCTTGTCTTCTTCACGATCTTTTTCTTGGAGATCACCAAGGTTACACTCACACTTCCCACACTTGCAAACACGAAGAGGACGATACGCAGCCATACTATCCCAAATACGAGTAAGCTTTCCAAAATACGTTTCAATGGCGAGACCTCTCTGTTTACAACAAGCTAGCTCTGCTTTGATTTGTTGAATTTTAGGACCATTCATAACAGAGAACCGCTTCTTGAGATGATCCCACAAATCTTTCGCTACATCTCGATGTGAAATATTTGAACGCAAGGTAGGATCAATGGACATCTTAATCCACGACACAAGAAGTGCTTGAATCGTCCACCAATCTTCAAAATCTGGAGATCCCTCAGCCGGTCGAGCTATGGTTCCATCAAGGAAACCAAACTTCTTTCGAGAGAGCAATGCCGTCTTCATACCGCAAGCCCACTCGTCATAGTTCATGCCCAGCAGCAACGGATGTGAAATCACAGCACCTGGGTTGTCAGCCGCAGTCAAGTCGTATGGAGATATCGTTCGTCGTACTTCCGTCGTTGTCGTTGTCACAGTCGGGTTCGCAGTCGGGTTCGGGTTCACTAGTGGGTTGCCTCCGTTGTTGTTCGCCATCGTTTATGTCGAGAACGTGTGTTTCGAAGATATTCAGATTTCAAGGCTCTGATACCATAAAATGAACTAAGGAGGAAGACAGGTTGAAGAAATGTTTTTCTCTGTATTGCAATGATCGATTACATAGCATATATATGCTTATACAGAATCGCAAGACATAAATACAAGAATATTTGCTATTAAAGTATATACTATATGATTCCCCTAACTTCGTGTGACATGATTATATATAGAATCCCATTACTTGTAGTTTTCGTTAAGTCTAACCTAAGTTGTCAAAAAAGAAATTTCAGTGATACATTTTCGACTAATTTAAAGTCAATTTCCACTCTGATCCGGTAGTAAAACCGGTTCGACCACAATCCAAATTACCGGTTCGAGATTTATCTAAAATTAATTGTGATCTTCCTCAGTATTTGTCTTCCTTTCTTCTCCGATCAGAAAATTATCGTCCTCCGTTGAAACTTCTCAGGTCAGTTTGTTTTTTTTTTTCTCTTGTACTTTCAAAGTCGTATGATTTACGAATCTTCTTCGCTATGGATTGAATTTTTCAAAGATTGCCATGTGAATCACTATTCAATGAATTTAATTTTCCCCTAATTTGCTTGGATCAAGCCACTTTCTCTAAATTTCTGCTTAAATTTGGTACAGATTGATTCGTTTATACTGCGTGAAGATCTCGTCACCAATTTGGAGCGAGCTCTGTGCACAGTCCTTCGTGTAAGTAACATATCTATTGTTGTCTCGTCTTTGACTCTGTTAGATGAATAAATCTGGGATGATTTGCTTCTAGTGAGTGAGATATAGGCAAGTACTTAAACTTTTTGATAGCTTAGGAGTCTTCTTTGCTCGATGTTATCTGCTGAAATTTGTGATTCTGTGACTGTGTTGGGTATGTTTGGATGGAGAACTCTGGGATTCTGGTTGCTTTTAAGTAAGATATTGGAAGCTTAGTGGAGATATTAGCTTCTGTAAAGGTTTTAAAGATTGATTCGATTTGGTTTTTATCTTCTTCTTTGTTTAAGTTTTTGCTAATCAAATCTCAAACTCATATCTCTGTGTTTGGGGCAGTAGAATTTTCTAGCTTGAATCTGTTGGATCAAGAAATCTGGGATTTTGATTGCTTCTAGACAAGATTTAGGAAGCTTAGTGATGAACTACTAGTCTCTTGATAGGTTATGGGTTTCATTGGACGGTTCTTGTTGCTTTTCTTTTCCTCTGGATTCGTTTTTTTATTCTATTGCTAAAGTTTGAGTTTTATCTTTTGGTTTGTATGGTCAGTGATACAGAAAGGAACCTCCTTGTGCGTGTCCCATTCTATTCTCCATAGACTGACTTGCTTTGGGGATAAAAAAGATGGCAGAGGTAAAGTTATGGAATGACAAGCGGGAAAGAGAGATGTACGAGAATTTTGCAGAGCTTTTTGCAATCATCAAAGCCACAGAGAAGCTCGAGAAAGCTTATATCAGAGACCTAATCAATCCTTCAGAGTACGAATCTGAATGCCAGAAACTCATTGTCCACTTCAAAACACTATCAGCTACACTCAAAGACACGGTGCCGAACATTGAAAGATTTGCAGACACATACAAAATGGACTGTCCAGCCGCTCTATACCGCCTGGTGACATCAGGTGTTCCCGCCACAGTGGAACACCGAGCTACCGCAGCAGCATCTACGTCGAACTCTGCATCCATAGTAGCTGAATGTGTACAGAATTTCATCACATCAATGGATTCGTTGAAACTGAACATGGTGGCTGTCGACCAGGTTTATCCTCTCTTGTCTGATCTATCGGCTTCTCTCAACAAACTGAGTATTCTACCGCCAGATTTCGAAGGGAAGACGAAGATGAAAGAATGGCTCTCGAGGTTGTCTAAGATGGGAGCAGCAGATGAGCTTACGGAACAGCAGTCAAGGCAACTTCACTTTGATTTGGAGTCATCATACAACTCTTTCATGGCAGCTTTGCCTAAAGCTGGTAACTGAAACCGATGTAGATTTGCTTTCTTGTGCTTTAGTGTGCATGTCTTTGTTTTATACTACTAGTTTAGTGGTAACTCGAAGACAATTTTACACGTTTGAGGAGTCGAATGTGCTTGTGTGTACCATATTCTGGTTAAACGAAAATACAATTACAAGTACTCTGTGGGGGCTAACATGATTACAGTTTTGTTCCAATGAATTAGGATACTTGTTGCACACTAAGTTCGAACAGTAAGAGTGGTAGTAACAAGAAGCCCAAGCCTTCTTTGACGACTTTAAAATGGGATCGAGCAAATTTATTTATTCTTCATAACGCAACACATTACATATTTACCTCCTAGATTGTTATTTTTCTTCTTTTTTTTTGTTTACAATTAAATAAATAAATAAAACAGTATATATCAGAGGGATGTCATCATCATCAAAGTTTGCTATCTTTAGCATCATGTTTCAAATCTTTTAATTAAGAAGCATATATTTTTGAATTGATATTAATTGGATTATCCCTTTGTCACAGTAATATTTAATGAATAGAGGATTCTCTAAGATGTGTTGCATCATACGTGACATAACGTAACATGGATCCTCTTACTTGATTAATGCTGCTTCTTTCCATTCTCTGGTCATGCTTTACTTTTTTAACATTCCCAACAGAAACATTCCTCTCAATTTGAAAAATATTGCTTTGCTGTTTCTTGCAATCCAAAATGAACAACCATAGAATCCAATCCATGGTGCTAGCTAGCTAAAGTTGACCTTTCCCAACTCCCATGAAAATTGTTGTTCAAGATTTCTAGATAAAAATTGGTGCTTTCATCCACATATTTACTGACCAAATTTTCAATAAACAAGATATGTATTACAGTATTACGAATTCGTTATCTCAAAATTTTGATATTTTAATGTACTTCTTATGTTTCTTATTACTTGTTGTTTTAAGTAATTTCACATATATTTAAGAAATACAATTAATTTTTATATTTTACATTTAATTTACTGTTTTTGTTTGACTCAAGTAATTAATAAGCTTGAAAAGTAGAGATGAAACTATAACTTTTCTCATAAATTTGCATCTAAATACAAAATGACAAATCATATGAAACTAAATTATTAACTCTAGAACAATAAATAAAATGTAATGAATCATTTTAATTATCGATCCTTTTTATTTTCTTTAATAATCTGTACTATTATACAGTAAGTTCATTAGCTCAAATTTAGTATTTTACTCCCACTGTTTCTTATTACTTGTTGTTTTTAGTAATTTCACATATATTTAGAAATAAGTAAATTTTCTATTTTGCATCTAATTAATATACTGTTTTTGTTTGATTTAAGTAATTAATAAGCTAAAAAGGTAAAGAGGAAACTGAATTTTTATCATAAATCTGCATTTAAATATAAAACGACAAATCATATAAAACAAAATTATTAGTTCAAGAACGGTAAATAAATATAATAAATCATATGAAACACAATTATTAATTCTAAAAGATAAATAAAATGTAATAAATCATATGAAACAAAATTATTAATTCTAAAAGATAAATAAAATGTAATAAATCATATAAAACAAAATTAAATTGTTAACTCAACGATAAATAAAACGTAACGGATAGAATATAATTTAATAAAAATTAATGAATACTCTCTCCGTTCCATTATATAAGAGTTTTTGGCTAAGAACATAAAGATTAAACAATAATAAATATTGTATCATCAAACAAATCTAACCAATAGAAAAAATACTGGAGAATTTAAATAGTCACGAATTATTAAACAAAAATATAACAAATGCATAAAAATCTGAGAAATTATTTTTAAATGGAACAAAAATAAAAGTTTAAAAAATATTAAATGTGAAAACGGAGTGAGTATTTAAATTTTTGGTTCAAAGCTCTAAAACCAAAAAAAAAAAAAAAATTAAATTGTCATTATATTAATTGCCTACCTAATTTTAAAGCATTACTCATTGGTCTTCTACATAACACAACCGATCAAAACTTAACTCGGTAATAATATAATTTTATGTGCTAGTGAATTACTTTGACTATCCCAATCCCAAAGTCCCCCAAACTTTTAAAACTTTCCCAATCCCAAACTTTCTTATTCCCCAAAATGAAAAGAAAAATTTCGATTATTGAAAAAAAAAAAAAAAAAACTTAACCGCAAAGCATGGCATATTCGTAAATTCAGTCCACTTTTGAAAATTAAATATTTTTAATTATTTTATATTCGCACGTGGAGAATCAAGTGATCGCCGTCAACCTCCTTTTAACGGAATCCAATAAGAGCACACAAACAAAACTCAAGTCAACCCTTCTTCTCCGCTAAGTTACCAAAAACAATCACACCGTTCAAAAGTACACGCGTCGAAAAGACGCACCGATTAATCCGTGCTCCGTACCTCACATGATTCCTCTCTCCACCGTGTTAAAAAACCGACACTGCCCTTTTTCTTATACGCCAGCCGAAAAAGACCGACCGACCACGATCACCACTTACTCAACTAACCAATTATATAACTCCACGTGTCATACTTTTTAATTCACCGGCTAACACGGATATGGAAGGTTTATTTATATATTAAGCTGATCCATTTTTCAGCTTTTATTTTTTTCTTCTTCCTTAATTCGTTTTTATTTTTATTTTTCATCAATCAAATCTCTAGTTTAAGATTCTCGACGATTCATATAATCTTTAGTTTCTTACTTCCTCAGTTCAAAAAAAATCTTCTCTTGGATTTTTTTATTTTCTTTCTCTGCTGTATGATCCATCAGCTTCTCTTCCTTTCTGTATTCAGTTTAAACTATTTATAAAGCTATGGCGTTTCTGAGTGGCGGTGGTGGTTTTGAGATCATCAAGTCGAAAAATCGTGAGTACCAAGGATTAGGGTTAGGGTTTGTGAGGTTTACTCGTGGGTTAGGGAGGAAAAGGATTCTCATTTCTAAATCAAATTCTGATCTTTTAGCTCATCCGGCTGCAGCAAATGATTCTTCACCGCCGCCGCCGCCGCAAGAATCTAACCGGTCTCTTCTTGAATCCCTTCATCAAGATATTTTGGTATGTTTTCGTTTTTACTTTTTATAAAAAAATACAGAGTTTTTTTCCTCTGTAATTTGTGTGATTTTGATTTCGATTTGTTAATTTTGATTGCAGATTCGAGTACTTTGTCATGTGGATCACGAGGACCTCTCTACACTGAAACGTGTATCTAAAACAATACGAAAAGCTGTGAGTTCTTTCATTTTTTTTTTTCATTTCTTGGGATCGTTCAAAATATTTCTAATTAAGCAAAAATGATTAATTATTGTATTTTGATGGTTTATTTTAGGTAATAGAAGCAAAGAAGTCGCATTTTGATTATAGCACACCAAAGAAGAGACTTCCTTTTAGAGAAGCTGTATTAATCATGGAGGAAGATTCAAATTCGAATTCGGATTTGAGTAATCAGAGCGATGAGATTGAGCCACCCAATGCACCAGTTCGAAGGAGGAGTATTAATCGGGAATCAGATTTGTCAAATATCTCTATGGTTTTGTTTAAATGATGATTGAAGAGGAGGCTCGATCTCAGCTAATTTGTGTGTGCAGAAGGAAAGAAAGAAAGAGACAGAACAAGAAGAAGACATAGAAGAAGAAGAAGAGTTTGCTTTTGCTTCAATTCTTTTCATTGAAGCTTTTTCTTTAATTATTATATTTACTGATCATCATGTGAATATAACTATTATTTGCAGACTCTTGGAAGGTTTAATTATAAAATTATTTGTGAATAAAAATTATATTTTTTTCCTATTTTGGCTTGTGATCAGAGTATCCTAAGTACTGATTTTTTTGTCCTTTTTCCATTTAAAAAGAAATTATTAAGATTCTTTTTTTTGTTCATTCTGAAAATTTCTTGACTTTCTCATATTTCTCAAAAAAATTCTTATATGTTAAAGTAAACATCATAAATGAATCTGAAAGATTTGCTTATTTAATAATTTTGGTCAAATGAGAAGTTCTCTCTTGTAAAAATTGGATTTTTATTTGGCCAAAAAAAGATGAAGTAAAAGTTGGAATTTTCATTTAGAACTGATGAAAAATATTTATTGTGTTTATTTAATAACCTTTCCAAACACTTACTTAAACTTGCATGTTACTCCAACATAAATAACACATATAATATTTTCTTTAAAAAAAATATTAGTTCTGCAAATTCTTGACTTTCTCCTATTTGTTTGTTTTGTTCAATAATCTAATGTAAGTGAACAAATTGAATGAATCTAAAAGATTTGCATATATGAATAGATTACAATTGTGTGTGTCAGATTAAATTATTATGCAGACTTTATGCCGTATAATGCATATTCATTCACTCCAGGCCGATCCACAGCTCAAAATAGATTGCTCTTCACATGTGGCTTGTATAAAGAAATGAAGAAGAAAGATAGGTAAAATGCTATAAAAATAGCAAAACAAAGAAGCTTCACTTCACGAAAGTTGTATCTTTTATTATTACAAAACCTCACCGACAGCTATGTTTGGTTATCTGGAAAGTTGTAAATAATCGAACCCATGATCGATTGATCGATCTCTCTCTTTCTCCTATACACAAAAATGTCGTATTCGAAATTGTTGAGAGTGTGGTGGAAGTGTAGAACCATCCATTCTTTTTCTTTTTTCATGTTAGAAAAATGCTTACTAAAGTGGCTTTTGTCCGAACTACGTGGGTTGAGCATAAACCATACATTAATAATCGCAAATCCAATGTGTTGTGTTGAATGATCATTTCGTGTAAAGCTCATCAAACCAACTAAATGACACATGGTTGGTCGAAAATGGTTCTAACGTCTCATGTGGTTTTTTTCTTTATTACATTTTCGTGGCATCTTTGGTCATACACATCCGAATTCAAATGCTTTTTTTTTTCTTGTTAAATCCAAATTCTAATGTTGGTCACCGATCATAGGCATTTGTCTTTAATTTGCAAAAGTTTTAGGATTTAAAAAAGTAAAACTAAACATTTATAAACTATCTAAAACATAGAATTCAGTACCGTCCGTTTACATTAAAGTTATAATATTTTTCTTTTTCATTGAATATTTTTCCTAAACTTATATTATTTACAAATTTAACTATTTAGTTGATTTTTAAAGGAAATATTTAGTAGATTGTTAAATATGTGAAATGAAAGTCAATATTGTATTTTGCAATCGGACCATGAAAAGTGGAAGGTCAGATTTAGGTCAAAGAGTGGGTCATTAATTAATCTCCAACTAATAATGTTTTGATGACCCAACAACACAAGCAAGCAAGCTCTTGCAATCCGATTTGATCGTCCCTAATTGTTCTTTAAATGATAAGTAATGACCCACCAACGTCCATCCATCATCTTAAGCGTGCTGCTTTTGCTATCACCAAATAGAGCAATTAGAGATCATCAATCATCATCATCTCCTGATTACTTGTAGATTGTTCATATGATAATAATTTGGAAGCTGGTCTCTTCAACAAAGCTCCCCCAGTGCACCTTCTCTCATCAAGAAAGTTGTTGCCCAAGCTTCAATCTTTAGTATATGGAAACAGAGGAACAATATGTTTCACAACTTACACTCACTTCGTAATACCATCACAGCTCGAAGACACAATGGCATACGCTGATGCTGCTTTGGATCCTATAGTTTTGTTTTTCTCCCAGAACTTTCTCTCAAATTTATTCTAGCTTTGTATTCTACATAGATATTACTATTTTGTAAAACCTTTATTTCATTTCTCTAATGATATCATATTAACATATTCCAGCAACAAAAAAAAAAAAAAAAAAACCTCCTTCATCTTCCACTAATCTAGCGCGTATTTAACCAAGTGGCACTTATCTTTTAAGTCTTCGTTACAACCACAAAATACAAAATATAGTATCATAACGTAGGACATGGACTAAGTTAACAAAACACCAACTAAATAATTTTTATTATTATTTTCGAAACAGGTGATTAAACTTTGGATTAAAGGTTACTCAATTAGCTTTTATAATCTTCAGGTAAATCTTTAATTTAGTGGTCAAGAGAAGAAGAAGAGTTCAACGGAAAACGACTTTTTGGGGCATTGACCAGCAAAAAAGTGCCACAAAACAACCCATCAATTTCGCATGAGAAATCAAAGTATTACGCGTCTTCGGTGCCTATCAAAATCTTTGTCTAAGTTGACGAGTAAATTATATTCGGTGACAACTAAGAACTAACCATACAACTTTTTTTCTTCATAAAACAAATTATGGACCTTCAATGAATATATAATCATCTATTTAATAGAGATTTTTTTAAAAAAACATAAGAAACCTCACTATAATAGTTTGAATCTAACCAACATTTATAGTGGTTAAGCGGTCAGAGAACTCAAAATTTGAGCTTTATTTATTGCGGTTTAAACTATACTTGACCTATATATGTAAATGGTTTAAATGATAATATAATTACAAAGTTTTGAGATTTATTTAGTCTAGTCTTCTAGAGTTGGTTTGAGATTTAAACAGACATCAAAGACAAAAGTATACATTAGAACAATTTTACGTGGTAGAAACACCATATATAAAAACTTTTGATGTGTTTTTTTTTTACTATTGTTAATGGTTAAAAGCTTTAACTTATGCATTGGGGAAAAGAATCATAAAAGGATCAATTAATGAAGATCAATTGTAACAAGGAGGCTAATTATGGATACACCAAAAAATGAATAATACACGTATGAGCCTTTTTGTTAGAAAAATGACTTAGAAGTGATGAACAATCTATTATTTTCACGTTTTAACATTTAAAAAACATGATATACGTTAGTTGTTCTCATTCCAAAAAAAAAAAAAAAAATCATTAAAATTTTCTGTTTTTACGCTTTTGCGATATGACATCACAAATTCACAATACATACTATGAATGTACAATTATATAAGTAAAACATACTAGTAGTAGTTAGCGATAATTATGTATAACGAAAATTATATATTAGACAATGTGGTTTATACTATTCTATCATTTGACTATTCGTTATGTCAATGTTCATTAATATAAATATCTGTCAAACTCTTATAACTCCTCTCATGTCGATTTCGTGGAATAGAACTTGAAAATCGGGAGCTCCATTGAAAATCTAGCTAAAGTTATACATGAAGAAGAATAATAAGATGATGGAGGATATCAAGAAGAAGATTCATATTCCCATTGTTATCAATATATATATTTTCAAGAGATATTTATGTTTTTAAATAATGAAGAAAAAACATATATGACGATAATAAATAAAAACTAATAAATGAAATGAAAATATGGTTGCGTTGTATATACGAAAGCAAACTGTTTTTCTTCTTTTTTTTTTTTTTTTTTTTGTGTGTGGCAAGTAGTTCGCTTTTCCTATATTAATATTCGTCTATAGAAAAATATTGTTTGACTATTATTTGATTCTTGAAGTATCTAGCTAGTTTTATCATCTTTAACAAACAAACTTGAATTTGTTGTCTAATGGTAAATGGTTATGTCGTCACGATTTGTTTATACTAGTTGTATTGTAAGTTTATAAATTGTAACGTTGTCGACGGAAAATGAAATAATAATTGAAATATAACATGGTCAGATAAAAATCAGATTCAAATAAAATCTGGCTGGCCTTGGTCACCAAGCCTTTTAGATCATTAAATAATTTTTTTATACACTCACCGTCACAATTTCAACAATTTAATATGTTTAAAATGTCATAATTAATACGTGTCGAAAGTGTTTTTTAATATATTACGAAAAACAATTTTTAAATAAAAATGAAATAGAAATATTCTCAACCAATCACAACCTCGTTGGCCTCGTTTTTTATTTCTTTCAATTTAATTTTTGTATTATTTGACTGGAATATTCCACGGACGCCACGTGGTCAACCAAAACGTTCGCCAAACACTACTTCTCCACCGTCACATTCGTCTTGGCCCCTCCAGATCTCTCTCTCTCTCTTTTTTCTCTCTATTCTCCAGGATACTTGGCGTTACTGTTTCTTTGTTTGTTCGTTATCAAATCTCTTTCTCTTCTCCTCTCCTCTCCTCTGCGATTGAATCGAAGAACAAGCGTGAATATGAGAAATTTCAGTGTCTTTGAGCGATTCTCCAAAGCTTTTCAAGATCATCCTTCTCTCACCAGAATCCTCGTCGTCTCCACCATCAGGTCGATTTCCATACTTTTTTTTTTTTTCGCGTTCTATGATCTCTTCTTGTTGATTCCTTTTACAACAGAGATTTGAAACCTAGAACGTATGAACAGATTCTTCAGAACACAAAACGAAAATTAAAAAAAATAAACTAGTGGATACAGAGATTCTCTTGGTTGTATGATTCACGCAACACTTGCTTTTCCTACATTCTGAATCTCTCTGGAAGAACGCATTTGATTTTCGTCACAAATCTGATTCGATGATACTCTCTGTGTTTGCAATTTTTGTTTATGCTATAGTGTTTTAATATGTCCTGGATTAACGCTGTGAATTGATTGTCGAATTCTCCAGATCTCAGATTTTTTTTTATTTCGTTGTCGTTTGTGTCTATAATGCTAAGATTTGATTCAGATTTGAGTTTTTTTAGATACTGATGATATGTACTGTAACATTGTCACAGTGGTGGTGGACTTATAGCCTATTCTGAGGCAAACGCGTCTTATGGAGCGAACGGTGCTGCTCTTGTTGAAACTGGAACCAGGAAGAAGAAGGTGGTGCTGCTTGGAACTGGTTGGGCTGGAACTAGTTTCTTGAAGAATTTGAATAATTCTCAATATGAGGTTCAGATTATTTCGCCTCGAAACTACTTTGCCTTCACACCTTTGCTACCTAGTGTTACTTGTGGAACTGTTGAAGCTCGCAGTGTTGTTGAGCCTATCCGTAACATTGGAAGAAAGGTAACTGTGCTTGCAATTTTGTCTTCTTTTTCTATTCTGCTTACTTACTACAGTACTCCATTATATTTCTGTGAAATAGTATATAATATTGAGTAGACTGGCTTGTGAATGGTATAAACAGTAGACAAACTTCTGTTATACTAGCAATTTTTTGTTTAAGATGCTCAAGGTTGTTAGTTATGAGTATGTACTGGACCAATTACGATGATGCTTCTTCTATTTGCAAAGTATGATATTTTCTTTTGTTGAAAAAAATGCTAATGCAAGCTCGTTTAATGTCTTTACAAATAGAAGAATGTTGATACGTCTTACCTGGAGGCAGAATGTTTCAAAATTGATCCAGCAAGCAAGAAAGTTTTTTGCCGATCCAAACAAGGCCTTTCAAATGGAAAGAAAGAATTTTCGGTTGACTATGACTACCTTGTAATTGCAACTGGAGCTCAGTCTAATACCTTTAACATACCCGGAGTGGAGGAGAACTGTCATTTTCTGAAAGTAAGTTTTCTGGGCTCTTAACTCCTTTATAAACCTCTTGGTATGTTTTTTTTTTTTTTGTAAGCAATGATATTACTGCTAAAAAATATATGAAAGTATATATTGATTTGATCATTTGTATGGTTTGTTAAAAGTTCTGATGGTTTTTATCGGTTCAATGCCTGCTTGTAGGAGGTTGAAGATGCTCAGAAAATCCGTAAAACTGTTATTGATCTCTTTGAGAGGGCAAGTCTACCAGAACTAAGCGATGAAGAGAGGAAGAGAATTCTGCATTTTGTGGTTGTTGGTGGTGGGCCAACAGGTGTTGAGTTTGCTGCTGAACTGCATGATTTTGTTACTGAGGATCTAGTTAGTCTCTACCCTAGAGCCAAGGGTTCAGTGCGGATCACGCTTCTGGAGGCCGCAGACCACATCCTGACCATGTAGAATTTCTTGCCTATAAACTTCTGAATCATGCTCAATCTTCTTCTTCTTATTTTTTTTTTTGTTCAAGCTTGAACAATCATTGAGTTTCATGTTTCCATAAAACCTTGTATATCGATTCAATTGGAAGCTTTTCTTTCACAGGTTTGACAAGAGAATTACTGAGTTTGCCGAAGAAAAGTTTAGCAGAGATGGAATTGATGTGAAACTTGGCTCCATGGTAACTAAAGTGAATGAGAAAGATATAGCTGCTAAAACCAAAGGAGGAGAGGTTTCTTCCATTCCTTATGGAATGATTGTCTGGTCAACTGGTATTGGAACTCGTCCTGTCATAAAAGACTTTATGAAACAAATTGGTCAGGTAAGTAATGTGCTTTAAATAAACTCATACACACTACAATCTTCAACATTTCCTAGCAAACACTTTGATCAACTGGCTCTGAGAAAAGTTCTTTGTAATTGCAGGGTAATAGACGTGCTCTGGCAACTGATGAATGGCTTCGCGTAGAAGGATGTGATAGCATATATGCCCTTGGTGATTGCGCAACAATCAACCAGCGCAAAGTCATGGTAACTTGAAACTTTTATTGCTTCCTAAAATCTGGATTAATGTTTTAGATTATAGACCAAAAATCTCAATGTCTTCATGTTGCAGGAGGATGTTTCTGCTATATTTAGCAAAGCAGACAAAGACAAGTCTGGGACACTGACTCTCAAAGAGTTTCAAGAAGCAATGGATGACATTTGTGTTAGATACCCTCAAGTGGAGCTCTACTTGAAGAGTAAGCGTATGCGTGGCATTGCTGATCTTCTAAAAGAAGCCGAAACTGATGATGGATCCAAGAAGAACATCGAACTGAAGATCGAAGAATTCAAATCTGCTCTTTCTCAGGTGGACTCACAAGTGAAATTTCTTCCAGCTACAGCACAGGTAATTTGGTTGAAGTTTAGCTATATTTAAGTCTTCGTTCATCTCTGATAAAAACTCTTGTTTGCTCAAATTTGTTATATATGGATATTTTTAAGGTTGCTGCTCAGCAAGGTGCTTACCTAGCTAAATGCTTTGACCGTATGGAAGAGTGTGAGAAGAATCCAGAAGGTCCCATTAGGATGAGAGGAGAAGGTCGTCACCGTTTCCGCCCCTTCAGGTTAGTCCTCCCAAAAAAGTCTTGTTGTTGATGAAACCAAATCAATAGACAACTTCAAAAGAATTGTGAAATCAGGTTTGGTGTTTTCGATTATGGTTTGGTTTTAAATCTCTGCGGGTGTAACACAGGTACAGGCATTTGGGACAATTTGCACCATTGGGAGGGGAACAAACGGCAGCACAACTTCCAGGAGATTGGGTCTCTATTGGACACAGCAGCCAGTGGCTCTGGTATTCCGTCTACGCAAGGTAAAGGAATTTTTTAACTTTTACTTTTTGAAGAAATCTACTACAAACAATATTTTTTGAATTTTCATGTTAATGGTTTGGAACAGTAAGCAAGTGAGCTGGCGTACGAGAGTGCTAGTGGTTTCGGATTGGATGAGGCGTTTCATCTTTGGAAGGGATTCAAGTAGCATCTGATTGATTTAAACCACCCCCGCATCGAACTCATGCCAAACCCCAATTCCCAAATACAACAGCAGATCTATCTACTCTCCTCCTCTCACGAGTTTACACTAACTTTCTCATGAGTACAAAGTTTTGTTTCCCCTTTAAAACCACAAAATTCGGCTTTTATATTTTGTAATAAAATAATGACCATGACCTCCACTAGTAACGAGGAGAGATTGCCTCTCTCTACGATGGGTTGGCCATATTCGCTAGTGCCGAGAATTGCACTCTCAGTTTTTGCTAAATATTTTTCAGGTGGCTCTTTTTACCATTTCTTTCATATTTTGTTTGTTTGTTTGTAAGCCCTTTCCTCAAATTTTGTTTCAAGTCCGATTACATAATGGAATTTTGTTTATCTTTTTTTTCTTTTCTTATGTTTTTCCCCAAGAATACTTTTATCATAGCTTCAATTGGTTTTAACTTTTAACACCACAATATGAAATGATTATAACTTTTTCTTAAACTCTTTCGTTCTTAATATGGCCAGAGAAATTGCGATAATGTAAAACTATACATATATGGTTTCTGAAAAAAAGGAGAAATTACATAATTAATAGTCGAAAAGTTGTTTTAGGAAAAAATAAAAATAAAAAAGAGTTAATACTAGAATAAGACTTAGTTTTGTTAAGAGTCAACATCAGCAACGCTGATAATATCAGCAAAACCAACTTTCTTGCGAAGGCGAACAACTAAGCATGCGGCGTCGACTCCTTCTCCGATGACCACCACTTTGTCTTTCTCTTCTCCTTCTATTCCCACAAATGTCACTCCTGCAGCTCCATTATTAAAGCATGAGATCATTCAAGCAAGAACTATAAAACGTATATAATTTACTAGGTTTAAATAAAATGAGATATCTTACCAGTGGTTTTGGCTCCAATCTTGAGAGCTTCTGAACGACACTTTTCGCACCTCATACTCACCGATATCAAGATTTTCTGCTCATGAAAAGCTAATAGATTCATCCTAAAACCTTTCGTATATACTTTAGACTTTTTAAACAAAAAATGTTAAGCATATATATAGATTATTACCTTGGGCATTTTGGAACGTCTTGGGAGAAAATGAAACTTCTTTTCTTCTTCTTTTGGTTTACGTGATTATATAGTTTTACGCGTGGGAAGAATACATGATATATATAAAGGGCAGTGATTGTTCTCAATTTCTTCTGCCACATGCATATATCGCTTAACCCGGCCGCGTATACATATTTCTCATCCATTGGTTGTCAATGCCACGAAATCGCAGAGGAAATTTTCATTCAACTGCTTCGTAGTCAAGTCCTTTAATGTAGTATTAATGTTGACATTTAAGTGGACAATAAACAATATATTAGCTTAGCTCACAAGGGTTAGTATCGTGAGGACCGGTCCTGCATTATAGAAGGCCTAAAGAAAAACTAATAAAAGTCGTCCCTTATTCGTATTTTTCCGAATATAAACCAAACCAATGAAACAAATGTAAACAAGAAATTTGCACATATCAATTTACTTTGGCATAGACAAATATCAATTTTTACATAAGATGAACATAATCCAAAAGAAATGGTGAAGAGGGGAAGGGGGAGAATAATTTAGAAAAGACCATGAAAAAAAATAAAAAATCTTAAAATGTTTGAATTGATCATGGAGTACATCACACTCGGGGTTTACTTCATGGAGAATGTATGAGTATCTTAATTCAGTAGTTGGCTTATAGTTTATTTGATTTTTATTTTTTTTACATTATATTCACATTATTGATTATAAGAGCTAGAATGCATTTAGAAATGTTTAAAAATGTGTAGAATGATTTAGAAATTGGTAAAGATGTATTTAGAAATTATGTATTTTGTTTGACTCTTGTCGTATCAATTTTGTTCTATCTGTTCTTGAGAAAGTTAATTGGTAAAAAACACTTGATGAGTCCCTCTATGATTCTCTTTGGTGGAGAGCTGAGCTAGTATATGTATTCAAAGCTTGTATAAATTTCAGGATACAGAGCAACCTGTTTCTTCTATGAATTTTGGAGATGATGTCTTGGATGTTAATTATGCGTTCAGCGAACTTGAACTCTTCTCAAAGATATGCAATCTTGGCTTGCCTTGAGACAAGATAAATCCATGACAAGACTAGTAGTTTGAAACTGATATGGGGGCCTCCTGGTACTGGTAAGACAAAGACAGTGGCTACTCTACTCTACTCTACTCTTTTTTCCTCCTTCTTCTTCTTCTTCTATTTTTTTGGATAAATCTTTGTCAAAGGAGATTTTGGATAAATAAAATGAAATTTTTTCAAAGGAAAATAAAACAAGAAAAATATATGATTTGTTGTTGTAGTTATTTCTTACCGTTGGGATAAATTTCCATATTTTTTGGCAGCATAATTACAAAAAGAGGAAATTTGGTGAACGAAAAAAGTGTTTTAAAAAAGGAAAAGAGGAAATTTAAGCCAAACAAAAACAAAAAAAAGGAAATTTTGCAAAAAAAAAAATTGAAAAAAGGAAAAAATGCAAAACAGAAAAAGGAAACAACAAAGTTTACCTTTTTTTTTTTTTGGGTGCTTAACCGCTAAACTTATAAATTATGCTCTCTCACACTTTTGCACATCTCAAATTCTCAATATCAGCTTTCATAACACAGTTGTTAGGTCTTGTCTTGGCCAGAGAAGTAGCGGAATTCGAGAGATTGAGAGAGGAAGCATAGACGACGAAGAGAGTCCCTGAAAAGACGAACCACTTCTGATAATAATCAAATTTGGTAACTATCTCACTTTCTCTGTTTCATCAAACCTTGTTCTTCTTCCTTTTTGCAATTCTCATATTTCTCTCTTCCTTCTTTTTTTTGGTCCTTACAGAAACAGTTAGGGTTTTTTTTTGGGAGAAGATTGCAAACCTATTGAGACGTGTATGTATGAAGACTAAGGTGTCTACGGTTTGCCTTCCAACTTTGCTTCTTTTTTTTGGTTTTTGTCTCTTAGTAAGTACATGATGAATCTTTTTATTTTTGTTTTAAATTATCTTTGTCTTCTTTGTGATGTTCTGTTGTGTTGGAGTTGGGTGAAATTGAGGACTCTTGTTGGCCATGGATGATACACCATTACACAATGAGCCAAAGTGAAGAGCCGAGATAGTTTTATTCATTAGATTGGTGGATTTGAGGAGATTGCTTGCAGATCAAACTCAAAAGGCCAAGGTTAACTGTCTCTTCATCTTTCTTTTGAGTTAGCTTTTCTTTGTTTCTTTTGCTTCTTATGATTTCTTCTTGTTCTGTGATTTCAGGTTTTCAACAGTTGATTCAGTAGGAGTTGATGAGTATGAGGAATCAGAAGTAGAAGGTTTGTTTTCCTCTTACTACTAAACATTGTTTTGCTTAGCTCTCTTGCGAATAAGGCTTAACAAATTGGTAGGCACTTTCACACCTGGTCGACATAACTACATCATCATGTACTTACTAAGAGAGAAGGGTTTCAATGGCTTTTGTCGACATAATTACATCATCAGGTGCTTACTTAAAGATTCAAATTTCTCTTTAGTTGTCTTAAATCTTAGTTTCATTGTTTTGTTTTCTTTTCTTTTCAGCGGTTTTCTTGTGTTTTCTTGCATGTGTATATGATTCAGCTGCTGATCAGTTTGGAAATCGTTGACGAGGTACTTCTTACAAAAGTTTTGATCTTTTTTTTTCTTCTTCTTTATGTTCATTCATAGTAAGGGTGAGAACTCTACCAAGTTAAGGTTTATTGGTTTATTTTGTAGGCTTGGTGACTGTTTAATTTTGGGTTTGATTTTGTTAGGACGTTATCTCTTCTTTCTTTTGAGTTAGCTTCTTGTTCTGTGATTTCAGGTGTTGAACAGCTGATTCAGAAGGAGTTAACGAGTCTGAGGAATCCGAATTAAAAGGTTTGTTTACTTGATTCTACTAAACCTTGTTTTGCTTAGCAGTATGGTGTCTTCTTCATAGTTTCAAGATATCTCCTTTTATCTTGTCTAATTTGGGGATAAGTTCTGAAGCTTGTGTCCTTTTGTGCTTCACAAACCAGGAACTACACATGGAGCGTCTTAGAGGGTGAAGAAGATCGAATCAATCCTAATAGCAACAAAGAAGAAGCCATACACTTTACAGTAAGGTTTGCTTGTTACTACTAAACTTTGATTTACAGGATTTGATCTGTTATTGTTCATTCTTAGTTAGGGTTTATTGATTTTATTTTGCTGCAGGCTTGGCTTGGTCACCTATGAAATTTCGGCTACTACTAACTTTTGGTAGGTATCTAACAGCTATTCGTTTTTTTTGTTTTAAAGTATATTTGTCTGATTCTTGTGTGTTAAATCTCATCGTCGTCTTAAATCGATTATAGGTTGGCGAGAGTATATGATCCTATCTTGGCCAAGAAAGATGATTCGCTCGCCTACAACCATGTTGCTACATTGAAAACTAACAAGGTTTGTTTCTCTCAAATCTTCCATCTTTTATCTTCTCTTATGGCATGGACCCGATAATGTTTTATCTGTTTTCACATGTCTCTTACCTTTAGTTACCATGGAAGATACACAAGGAGCCAAGTGAAGAGCCGAGATGTTTGTTCAATAGACTGGTGGACTCAAGGAGGCTGCTTGCAGATCAAACGCAAAGGCCAAGGTTTCATTTTTTCTTCTCTGTTTTTTTTTTTTTTTCTTTTTTGGGGTAGTTGGCTTGGAAACGTTAATCTTGACTCAAGTGTGGCTTATTATGGCTATGTTGCAGATTGTAGACGATGAGCTAGTGAAATTGATGGCTGGAGGAGAACTATCTGACTACACTTTGCTAACTCAGTTCCTACATAAGTATGGTTGGCTAATCTCCAAGGAGTTGGAAAGACAACGGTGTGCGCTAAACTAGCTTTTTACTTACAGAAGCAGCAGGTAATGCGTTTTCAAAATACAGTGGAGATATTTTTATTTCAATGTAGAGATAAGAATCACATGAGCCATTTTGACAAAGCTAGATGGTGATTTCAAGAGCTGCTGCTGCTTTGAGTGTGAAGGAGGTTTGTGTTACTTAATTAATGTTTTACCAATTTGCATTTCTGTGTTCTGTAAATGCGTGTTTGCTTCACATTTTGGTGTCTTTTTCAGGAAGCAAGCAGAAAGTTTTTGTCTTCATGAAAATCCTGTAGGCTTCAGATGCAGAGCCTCTTGTTTAAGGTGGCAATGCAGGAAGCCTGATGCCGCAAGTGCAAAGGTTTATTCCGGAACAGCAGGTTAGCGTAGACACCTTCTACACAAAAAATTTAAAAATGAACTTGTCAATTATTTGTTCTGATGGTTGAGATTTTTCTTAACTGCTACTTGGTAAGGTCTGAGTTTGTATATGACTGGATTTTTGTATATAATTTCGACAGTCTAATATCTGAGTTTAGTTTACACAGTTGTTAGGTCTTGTCTTGGCTGGAGAAGTAGCGGAATTCGAGAGATTGAGAGGAAGCATAGACGAAGTAGAAGATTTGTTTACCTGTTACTACTAAACCTTATTTTGCTTAGCTCTATTGCGAATAAGCCTTAACTAATGGTAGACACTTTCACACCTGGTCGACATAACTACATCATCATGTTCTTACTAAGAGAGAAGGGTTTCAATAGCTTTTGTCGACATAATTACATCATCAGGTACTTACTTAAAGATGCAATTTTCTCTTTAGTTTAACTTTTGTCTGAAACTTAGTTTCATTGTTTTGGTTACTATTTTTTTTTTGTTTTCTTTTCAGCGATTTTCTTGTGTTTCCTTGCATGTGTATTTGATTCAGCTGCTAATCAGTTTGGAAATCGTTGACGAGGTACTTGTTACAAAAGTTTTGATCTGTTTCTTCTTCTTCTTTATGTCCATTCTTAGTAAGGGTGAGAACTGAACCAAGTTAAGGTTTATTGGTTTATTTTGCAGACTTGGTCACTGTTTTTGGGTCTGATTTTGTAAGGACATTATCTCTTCTTTATTTTGAGTTAGCTTTTCGTTGGTTCCTTTACTTATTTTGATTTCTTCTTGTTCTGTGCTTTCAGGTTTTCATGCTGATTCAGAAGGATGAGTCTGAGGAATCGGAATTAAAAGGTTTGTTTAGTTATTACTACGAAACCTTGTTTTGCTTAGCATTATGGTGTCTTCTTCATAGTTACAAGATTTCTCCTTTATCTTGTGCAATTTGGGGATAATTTCTGAAGCTTGTGTCCCTTTGTGCTTCACAAACCAGGAACTACACATGGAGCGTCTTAGAGGGTGATGAAGAGCGAATCAGTCCTCATGTCAACAAAGAAGAAGCCATACACTTTACAGTAAGGTTTACTTTTTACTACTAAACTTTGCTTTACAGGATTTGATTTGTTTTTGTTCATTCTTAGTTAGGGTTTATTGGCTTTATTTTGCTGCAGGCTTGGCTTGGTCACCGATTAATCTCGGGTCTGATATTGTAAGGATGTTAACTGTCTCTTCTTTCTTTTGAGTTAGCTTTTCATTTGTTCTTTTTCTTATTATGATTTCTTCTTGTTCTGTGATTTCAGGTTTTCGACAGCTGATCCAAAAGGAGTTAATGAGTCTGACGAATCGGAATCAAAAGGTTGGTTTACTTGTTATTTACTACGAAACCTTGTTTTGCTTAGCACTGTTGCCAGATTAAGCTTATCAAATTGGTAGAGACTTTCACACCTCTTGTTCCTTGTTTTGCATAGCTCTGTTGTAGATAGGCTCCTCTTCAAGTATCTTGTCCATTTGTTTATAAATTGGCTTTCACACCACGAAATAAAGGTACATATATATATTCTTCATATTTTCAAGATTTCTTTTTATCTTGTGTAATTTGGGGATAATTTCTGAAGCTTGTGTCGTTTTGTTTCTCACAAACCAGGAAATTACACATAGAGCTGCTTAGAGGATGAAGAAGATAGAGTAAGTCGTGATATCAACAAAGAAGGAGCCATGAACTTTTACACTAAGGTACACTTGTTTTCTTCTTTTTGGCTGTGTGTATGTATATTGAGGTTGTCTTTAAAAAATTTAAAGCAAGATTGGTTAACTGTTTTAAGGTCTACAAGAGGAGATCAAATCAGTTCTTATAGAACTGTTAATAGGCCATCTTGGAACAAGGAGAAGGTAAATCCTGAAAACAAGAGGACCTTTAGTTTTATGCAAAAGCGATATTTGATTAACTAAGGTTCCTTAAAAAAAAGTGATGGCAATATAGAAGAGTCTGGGATTGTGATAATGATTATATGTCGAAAATCATTATGTCGATAGCAACTTTCACTTTACTCCGAGGTAAGATCTTGTTCTTTTCATGTTATGTAATAATTTTTAATTGGGATTTTTGTTAGTCTAGGATCCTGCAAATTGAGAGTTTGGTGAAGACTTGTTGAAATATGTTGATGAAACATTGGTAGAAACCTGTGTTTGGCACTTTCAAAGGTGACCCGGTAAAAGAAACAGGTAAGGTTGATTTTTCGTGAGACTTGTTAATTGTATATGTAAGACCTCGATTGTGTATGTGGATATTGGTTTTTGTGTTTTTTTTCTTGTATATACGTTTACATTTTTAAATTTAGAAGCAAATTAATGGTCGAGCCAAAACAAATCAGTAGTAGGAGCTGAAACTTGTGTGTGTTTTGATGCAGGATCAGGTCTTTGATCACGTGAAAAATGCTTTGAAGAAGTTTGATGAGGTTCATCATCTCTACATTCAACCTCAGGTACGTACGTCCTCTTACTTTTCAGCTCATCTCTTTATGAGCTGCTCCCCTCTTCATATTTTCAAGATGTCTTTTTGTCTTGTGTAATTTGGTGATAATTTCTGAAGCTTGTGTTCTAGAGTCCCTTAACAACCTCAAGTTATCTGATCTTTTCGACCTCCCTGGTAAAAATGTTACGATGAATCCGGAAATTTTTAGCGGACTGAGTGATGGGAACAAAGAATGTGTGGAGAAGTTAAGAAGCCATGGAACACCAATGGCATGTCTCAAGAGCAACGGAGGAGATTCAATCCTTCATCTTGCTGCCTGATGGGGTTATCTAGAACTAGTGAAGAACATTGTGTCCATGCCTTGTATTGGAGCCAAACTCCAAGGATCAGCTTCCACTTCATGTGGCAGCTCATGTCGGTCATTCAGCTGTTGTTGAGGCTCTTGTTGCAGTAGTAACATTTTTTTCAGATAGACTTTCTGAAGAAGATAGGGAGAGACTGAATCCATATGTTCTCAGGGACAAATATAGATATATAGAAGGACGCTATATGGATATGGCTGCCTGTCTGGTGAATGCGAACCAGGGTGCTTCTTTTCTTGAAAATAATGAGGGAGTATCTTCCTTGTATATGGCAGTAAGAGCTAGAGATGCATCTCTTGTGGAAGCAATTTTGAAAACCACCGGCAACGAGGACCTTGAAGGGAAGAAGTCTAATTTAGATTTAAAGTTGCAAGGGAGAAACGATCTTGCACATACATGCTGCTTTGAAGGCCAAAAGTATAAGTGTGTTTATCAGTTTACCCACTAGCTGCTGTATTTAGTTTGTTCAAAATTTTATGTTCGAGGTGGGGAAACTCCAGCCTCAAGATCACAAGTTCAGAAAGGGAGGTAATAAGCTTCTTATGTATGCTAATTGTTGTTTCAATTGTAATTTGAATAGGTGTCTTTGATGTTATTCTTAATGAATATCCAAGTCTTGAGGATGAGCAAGATGAAGAAGGAAGGACTTGTGGAGCATCAATAGGGTTTTATGAAGGAGTATGCAACCTGTTAGACCGATCAACAAAGAGTGTTTATGTCTGCGCGAAGATGGTTCCTTTCCAATACATACGGCTGCAGAGAACGGCCATATTAGAATTGTTAATGAGATTCTAAAACGTTGTCCAGATTCAAAACTCCTGCTCAACAAACTTGGCCAGAGCGTTCTCCACATTGCAGCAAAGATCGGGGAAGATAATCTTGTGAAATCGTTGATGCTAAGTAATGATACCAAACATATGGGTGTTAGGCAAGATGTGGATGGAAATACACCTTTGCACCTTGCCACCTTAAATTGGCGCTACCGATCAATAAGAAATCTCTTTTGGATGTAAAGATACTGTATTTACGGAACGATAATGGCTTAACATCTAGGGGGCGTTGCGGAGTCAGTGCTAAAATCCAATTACATCTTTCACGAGGTATGTCCGATTCCCTATATCACACAACACATTTGATCCCGTATTAGTGATCTTATAGCTTGACCATTTTTGGATTACAGAGGTTGACACTGGCATTCTTATTACATGCTCACATGTCAAAGGGTTCTGGATCTGTAAAGTCGTTAACAAAACCATCGGAGCCACTAGACCATGAAAAGAGCAGAGATTACGTTAACACTCTTCTACTGGTAGCCGCACTTGTAGCTACAATGACGTATGCTGCAAGTTTTACAATACCTAACAGCTCTGTTCCACACATTGGCAGGGCAACTTTGACCACTGTCCCAAATCTCTTCTGTTTTCTGCTGTTTGACATCTTGGCAATGCACACCTCCGTACTTGCAACAATATGCACTCTTATTTGGGCACAGTTGGGTGATCCATCACTCGTTTCCTCATCCTTAAATATGGCCTTGCCCTTACTGATATTTTATCTTCTCTGCATGCCCTTGGCATTCCTTTGTGGCGTGTTTATTGCGATTGGGCATGTTAAATGGTTTTTAGCCATCATTTCCTTAATATCTGCGTTCTTCTTCTATCGGGCGATCAGTATTCTTGCCCCTCACGTCCTGCTACAGCTGTCAAATGTTTCATGTGGTTCTTATCTCGAGGTGTTTATGTATTATCAATGATCAAATCTGGAACTAGTTTAGTAAGCGAAACACGATGATTTGTTTTATGTCCAATATAGCATCGATGTGGATCATAGCCAAATACAGTATAAAGCTACCCTCAAAGTGGCATCGGACAGTTTCATTATTGTAGTTAAAACCAAAACAAACAAAAAAACAAAAACCCTCAGCGGACCCTTGTCAAATCAACCACACAGCAGACACAGAACAAGGATGCAAAAATCCAAGTTCAGTCACGCTGTTGTGTTTAGTGTCATACGGCACTTCCTATCTTTTGGGTTTTCTTCTTCATCGGGTATCAAAAAAAAAGACCTCAACTTTCGTAGCCAAAAGTAAAACGTTTTGCAAGAAACAGAGAATAAAAAAACTAAATAAATTTTTAAAAGTTAGGGCATCCTAAGCTAGAAAAGTGGTTAGAAGATTTATGAGAGACAGAGAAGAGAATCTGTATTTATATAGAAGGGTATATGAGAGGCGGCTTAACTTAAAGCCCTAGCGTGCGCACAAGGCAGCATAACTCAAAAACCTAGCGTGTAAGAGGCGGCAAAACTTAAATTCTGAAAACCCAAGCCTTTGATCGAGTTACCCATACGGCCCATTAAGAGGCTTTAACATCATTAACACTTCGGAACAGAGCTCGAACTACAAAGACTAGTCTTGTTCCTTCTCGTGTGAATATCATACTAAGGATGATGCTTCTCCAGGAGTTGATCTTTTTGCTGCTGTTCCATTTCATGTTGTGCATACAATCTCGGAGAAAACCTTACATGGATGTTTTATGGGTTTTTCTCCTCTGTTTTAAAGAAAAGTGTGTATATTTGTGTTACAATGTTACAGATGTAGAGGAAATGGAGTTCGAATCGAACAAGTTGCAGAGAGTTTAGTGAATGAGAAGGCTCTGTTTATATCAGACCTTGCTGAAAGTATTTCTCCAGGAGTTATCAGATCGTTAAAAAAAGGACAAATCTTTGGTAATATAGAGGTCGAAGCAAACATATAACAAAATCACTTGTTTCTTTTAAGCTGGAGCAATCGTTGTCCTCAACTGTATTAATAAACAAAAGTCACCTTTCTTTTCTTCACACACACATTGTGATTAACCACACAACTAACAAAACACATACATACACACCCATTTTGTATTGATGACCTTTTGGTTTCAAGCCGAGTCTACTCCTCCTTGTTGCTGTGCAAGATATCTCTCTCGGCGTTGCTTCTGGTAATTACAAAAGAGAAAAAGACGTTATACAATTATATATAATCACACTTTTGTTGTCCTTTGAAAAACAAACAAAACAAGAGAAGATTAGGCTCATGGAAGTAATGGCAATGTGTCGCACCCATTCATCTATCACAAGTCCTTCTCCAATTGGCTTTGGACCAACAACACCCTCTGATGCTTTCTTCCGTGCTTCATCTACAGCATCCGCTTCTGCTAATTGACTCTTCAACTTCTCCATCATCTTTTTATAGAGAGAGCGAGAAAGAAGGTAACCAGATTAAAGATCAGTGATGTATTAAGAAGTGTTTTAAGCAGTAAAATTATCCCAATTATGGCGACCATAACAGAAGAAGAAAGACTCACGGGGTTAGAGCTTTCGGGATCCAAGAATACCACACGCATAACTTGCTCCTCAGAGACGTGATCTTTTTGCTCCTCAAACTGCAAAACACACAAAATTCTCATTCTATCTTTACCATCTCCTTTAGATTCTGAAGAGTAGTTATAACCATTGCCACATACCAGCTCAGGCATATAGTCAGTTGGAACTTTCATCTTCAGGCTCATAATTTTAAACTTCACCCCGCTCTTTAGTTCCATCGGCCTTTCATTATTCTCAGGTGGCTCAACAAACTTGAAAACTAACAAGAAAGAGAACCAGTCACCGCACAATCCGCGAGGCCAGTGCTTGAAATACCCACTGATCAAGCAGATTAAAGCAACACACATATACAAGAGAAAAAACTAGATAGAAGCAAATACCAGTTGCGATAATTTCTTCACCAGGAGCAAGAATAGCACCAGCCGGACGCATAAAGCAACTCTTTGGTTCCGTTGTTTGAAACTGAAAAAAACCGAGAGAGAATCAGCAGCGAAAGAAAAAAACCAATGACAACAACCTTAGTCAAAACTTGATCCAGAACAAACCTTAAAAGCTACATGAGACTTGCTCGTATTCTTAATCTTAATGGCACTCCTGACTTGCTTCCCAGGCTCATCTTCAACCAAAGAAATATGGATCATCAGTAAAAAGAGTGAATCTTGAAATCGACAAGACTCCACATTTTATTCCAAACAAAAACATTCCTCCTAAATTTCCTCAATGGCTTTATACAGTTAAAATTTTAGTAAATATTACTTTTCCAGTAATAAGCCAATAACAAGGTCAACATCATCATCTTCAAGATATATCCAATTTCATGGATTCCAAGAAAAAAAAATTTGCTAAAATCAGTAAAGTCAATATCACACTATGATCCAAAAAAATTCGCAATTTCAATAATTCTCAAAAACACATCAGTCAAATTCTACTGAGAATTATAAATCCGCTAATTCAATAGATTCCATGGAGATGAGATTAGAGTAATATATAACTCACAAGGGAAGTAAAGTTTTGCAGAAGGATCAAGCTTCAATCGGCGTTTAGTAGGAAGAAGCGATCTAGCGACAGATGACATAGAAGGGATCGTGGCGGCGGCGGATTGATGATGGTTTTGACCCAATCCTTCGACGACAGGAGGTCCGTGATATTGAAAATGGCGAGTTTGATGAATGTAATTTTGATTGAGATGAGAAGATGATGCAGAAGAAGAGGAAGAAGAAGTAGCCATGGAAGTGGAGGTAGCTTGAGCGTTGGAGTTTCGAAAGGGGAGCTTGAATTTGCCCCATCTTCGACCATCGGAATCTGACTTTTCCTCAGTTAAAGCCATCGTTGAATCGGATGCGAGAGGGAAGGGTTAAATCGGATTTGATTGGTGTTTTTCTTTATTAAACGAAACTCATCGGAAGTGAAGAAGAAGAAGAAGAAGGAGAAGAGAAAAAAAATAAAAATGAAGAAGAAGGAGAAGTAAAAACGCGATTGAAATAGCGTTTATCACGATTGCGTTTTGATCCACTTTTTAGCTTGTAGCCAAAAAACGTTTAAGATTGAAATCGCGTTTTGGATTAAGCTTACTTTTTGATTGTTGAAAGTAACGGTTAGTTTTATATAAAGTTCTGAATCTTTTACAACACAATTTAACAACTATACCAACCAAAAAGGCAAAAACTATACCATTTCACATTTCACATTTCCTTTTTTTTTTTTTGTTAATTTACTATTTTACATCTTACAAAATATGTTATCCATGTCCTATTGTAAGACTAGGATTTAACATATTTTATTTATACCATGTATAAGTAGAATTTGATAATTTGCTGAGTATTGATATCAAGTTTTGATATTCGATTTATTTGACGACTTTACCAAATAATGCATGTGCACATAAAAGAATTTTATATCATCAAACAAAAAGATTCCAAGTTGGAGTTTATTAAATCCAAAAATAATATACGCAACATTTAGCATCATCGCTTTTATTAAAAAAATAATTAACATTTTCTTATAATCTATAGTTTAATGATACATTACTCAACTGTATTTGCATATATTCTTAAAGTTTTATGAAAATTTGTTCATCTAACTCCAAATTAAAACAAACCATTTTCTTCATAGCTTCTTTTCATTATATACATAAAAGACTTTTACAGAAGCACGAAAACGAAAATTACAAAAATATTCACAAAAAGTTCAAACTCAAAAGCACAAAACACAGAAGAAACGTTTTGGATTAAGCTCAGATCTATAATCTAACAAGATCCCCAACAGCTCAGAAACATGACAGTCCTCAAAGATTCCTCCGCCTGCCTCAGCTTCTCGCTCGCCGCTAAACCAAATAGCCTCGATTCCAGATCGCCTTTGTTAAGTCTCCTCACCGAAGACGACGACGACGACGAGACTGAAGAACTCTGCGGCGACGAGACCGAATCTTTGACGGAAGATCTTATCGCCGTCGTCGTATCTCCGCCGGCAACAGTCTTCTCCTTCATCAACTTACCGGGAAACTGACTAATCGCTCTGTTCATCCGATCCTTAAGATTCTTCTTCTGATCTAATTATGGCTTTTCAGATTCCGAAGAGAGTTTATTTCTTTTTCTTCTTTAGAAGAAGTGAGAGACGTTTTGTTTTATAAAGAGGGGAGAAGTGTGTGAGTGAGTGAGCCATATGATTTGGGAGAAACCACCGGCTGAGTCGGTTTTAAACCGGAGGCTCGACGAATCTTGGGATTACTGTTGGATAAATGACCGCCACGTGGCTGTTAAACGAAGGTTCGCGACTTGTTGTTGGTGTCATGGTGTGAGAGATACTGTGGATATGATCGAAGATGGATATTTTTTTTATTACTTTCGTTTCACTTTTTAATCGTTTTCATTTGTTTTTGGGATAAAGAAATTGAAATATCTGCGTCGTTTTCTGATGGATAATTATGAAATTTAAATCATATACGATACGATGTTTTTAACTTTGACGATGAAATTAGTTGTTGTATTAATTGTTTCAAGATAACGTTTTCTGTTTTGCTTCACGTTTGTTTATTGTTAAATTCTCTTTGATAAGGTTGTCTACTCAAATTTTGACCAAGTTTATGCTAAGTTTATATACTTACATTCGAAATCAATTAGCTAGCAAGATAGTTTAGTATACATAGATAATGTTATAAAACACGGTCGTTTTCTTTGTTATTATATTGTATTGTACATGAATACGTATAAGGTTGAAGATATTAAAAAAACAACCTATAGAAGAAATGATTTTGGGTGGTGTGTGCTAAAAGGGGGCAAGCTTGTCTGCCACTAAGTAATTTTCCCTTCATACAGACACTACTTGAACCTCGGCAAAAATGTTTGATCCATTGTTGTAAAAATTAAGCCATGCATGCACCAATTAGTTCTTCATTTTGGTATATTGTGTTGTCAAACAGAGAGTCTATATGTACAATTGTTACAATCCAGACCATTTACTGGTGTCGGCTTGTGTTTGGTCGTGATGGTCATCATGTCACAATAGCTAGGTGAAGTATGCAAGTTAATTATAACTGTCACATATTGGAGTAGCTAGCTAGCGCATGCAGGGGCGGATCTTGGCATATGAGGCGTGGAGCAAAGTGCCCCATAGTCATTTCCTCAATTCTGTAATTTTTAGCTAATTATTGTAATATATTTGTTAAAAACAACAAAATAATATCAGTTTCTCAAGATTGTGCCATATGTAAAAATGGTTTCTGGAAAAAAAATCCAATTTTTTAAAGTTGTGCTATATGTAAAAAATGGTTTATGCATCGACCACTGAGCGCATGCATATACTTTTGACATCGTATCTCTGGATTGTGATTTCATTCCAAAACGTTACCATATTTTACGGGTTAGAGACTTAAGAGTTTGATAAGTAATCTTTGCAAAAGTCTCCATGCTAGCCACAAAGGTAGTAATTCATGCATTATATTACCATTCCAATAGTTATTTTCTTGGTCAAGAATTCCCAAGATCTGCAAAGTCTCCGAGTAACACACGTACCGACTTCGCAACACTCTTGATGAGGGGAATATGTGTAGGTCCATAACTCCCAGTCCCAGCCTTTCCGTTTTATGGCTACGATAGACGTTTCCATCTAAGCCACATAATTTTGTTTCTTTTAGTTGAATTGAACCCACAGGAAGACGACCACAGGATTCCATTTTTGCCTCAGAACAAGTGGTTTCAGAAATTCGAAATATGACAAAGACATGACCCGACATAGTCAAAGCTGAGAAAAGAACCCTAGCCAAATTAGCCTTAGCCACATACAAATTCTTTCTCCATTTATTTTCATATGATAAACTATCCGGATCTCGGATATCCGTCCAAAAATAAAATAGATATATTATTATTGTAATTGTAAAATTGAGAATTTTCTAAGTTTTTTTCTTTTCTAAAATAAGAGAAATAAATTTGGATTTCAAAAAAAAAAAAAATTTTGGGCCAAATTCTAATTTAAACAAAAAATAGTCATTGTTTTTACTCTTAAAATTAATTTTTTTAATGGGTCGAATCTGGATAGCCGGTCGGATAATATAATATTATTACGTTATAAAATTGATAATTTTTTAATATATATATTTTTTTTAAGTATGAAAGTCAAATTCTACGTTTTTAACAATTTTTTAATATAAAAAAAAGAATTATTTATCTTTGTTAAACCTTTTTGTGTTTTTTTAAGAATGAGTCGAATTTCTAGATTCAGATTATAGTAATATTTAAACATCCACATTTTCTAAAATACGAAAATTTAAAATACGCCGTATTCAGATACGTTTATGCAGATATTCGAGTTTTTGAACAGATATAGGATCCGGTTCCGGATCCGAATATTTATAGTCTCCAGTCTCCACACGAGTGATGGCGGTTGGTTACAATCTAAAAGCCATACAAAACCCAAAATAAAAGCCCGTTAATATTATTTGTCTTATTTTATTCCTGTTCACTAGTCGTTGATAACGGAGCTGGAACGTTCCCTTCATTTATCTAACAAAACCGGTTCGATTTCACCGGTTTACCTTCCGCCGTAGATATCAGCCGCAATGCACATCCTCGACGCCGGAGTTCGATTCTCCGCCGTTAAATTTACTCCGGTATCCAATCCTTCCTCTTCTCCTCTCCGCAGACGATACTTCATCGTAAGGTCTCTCTTCTCTTCTTTCTACCTCAAATCGTTTACTTCTCCATCTATGTAACTCATTTCTAATCTCCCCAATCGTTTTTGATGTCTCTCTCTCCAGAGCTAATCTTCCGTTTCCGAAGCATCAAGCTAAGTATCATAAAGAGCTTGAGGTCGCCATTGATGCTGTTGATAGAGCTTGTCGTCTCTGTGTTGATGTAAGCTAATTTCCCAATTCCCACTTCCGTTGTTCTTCAATTTCAGATTGGTGTCTAAAGCTTGCGTTTTTTTTTTTTTTTAATAATTGTTCAGGTAAAAAAATCGCTTTTTTCATCTAAAGAGAAGATTGTTGAGAAGAATGATCAAACTCCAGTTACAATTGCTGATTTTGGAGTGCAAGCTTTAATCAGCTTAGGTAAGATACATGAGCAGGCTTTGTCAATGAGTCCCACTAGTTTAGGCTTTTCTTGATTGTATAATCAATGGTTTTAGTGAGTTTGTGCAAAAGAAGACTGTTTCCATGAAAATCTGATTTCAAATTTGAATCTTATCTTTGCTTATTTCTGATTGTAGAGCTATCGAAACTGTTTCCTTCAATACCTTTGGTGGCTGAAGAGGACTCCCATTTCGTGCGTGCTAATAACCTTGTAAGCGCTGTGGTAAGTGAAGTCAAATCAAAAGCAAGCATTGCAGACAATGAGTTGTCTGATGCTGATGTACTAGAAGCAATTGACAGAGGTGGAAAAGATGCTTACGCCTTTTGCAACAAACCAGCTACTTATTGGGTATGTTTCATTTTATCATGATATATGAATGTGTCTCTAAGTTCCATTTGTTACTGTCTTAGATGTAGTCTTCTAGTCATTAGCTATATGTTGTCAACGTTGTGCCCTGTTAATGTTAAGATATAAGATATTTACCATCCACAGTTGATTGTCATTGTTGATATTTGTAAATCATGGAATGTCAGACTTGAACTGAGATATGAGTAATACTCGATTTTTGTGTTCCCCCAAGCACTAAAATATAGAATGATGCACATATCTTTTGTGCCTAGATGATATGATACTTTCGTTATACGGCCCATGCTGCCTGCAACTCACTTCCATTGATTTTCTGCAGGTTTTGGATCCAATTGATGGCACAAGGGGTTTTCTTAAAGGAGGTGAGGGTTTATATGTGGTATGTCTCATAACCCTTCGATTTTCATTTCCTTGACTTAAAAAGTTTCGTATGAGAATTATAGAACCTATTTTGTGGGATTGATAATTTAAAATCTCCTTGCTTAGCTCTACTTATTTTTTTATTTACAAAAGCCCTACAAATATGTTCTGAGCAAGATAAAATTTTCCACATGCATATGTATGAGTTAGATATGAGGTTTCATGTTGTTTTGTTATGTTTCTGATGTTCTCTTCTTCGCTATAAATTTATATGGATAAATCTCAGGTAGGATTGGCCCTTGTCGTAGATAATGAAATTGTGCTGGGAGTAATGGGCTGTCCAAACTGGCCAGGAGATTTATCGAATCAATCCACTGGAACCGTAATGGTCTCGCATATTGGCTGTGGAACGTGGACCAAGGGGTTACAAAATATCTCTGGCAAAGTAAGCGGTGACTGGACAAGGTGTTTTGTTGATGCCTCCGTTTTAGTGAGCAAAGCAAGGTTTTGTATACAAGAAAGCCAAACCTGGGAAACACTTCCTCTCTCTGATTTCTTCGCTGCAAAAACAGTTTCAGATGACTTAGAGCATAATGATATCATTCTGGTGCCGACATGTCATGGAAGGTATCTATATACTAACTTATCTCTATACTAACGACACATTAAAGTTCTCCATCCAACAAAAAAAAAGAAATGAACATTTCCCACTCAGTTCATTTTCCCTATTTTGTGTGTACAGTTTGTGCAAGTATATGATGGTGGCTTCTGGCAGAACAGCAGTTTTCCTTCTCCGAGACAAAACTGAGCGAACGATAAAGGTACTGATTGTTTGATTTGGATATATATACACAGTAACTTTCTTTTTTAATTTTATTGTGTACGAGTATATCTCTTTCTCAAGAGATTTTCTTTAAAACGTGTAGGCTTGGGATCATGCTGTTGGGGTGATATGTGTTCATGAAGCCGGAGGAAAGGTTGGTTAAATTTCTTATACACTGTCTCAAAGCCATTACCATATATATCAGAGATCATTTCGTCGATAAGAGTCTTAAAAAATCGACTAATAACAACACAGTTTGCTCGGTCTGGCCCTCTACTCCGTGTTTCTTTATGTACTTAGGAATCTAGCAAAGCCTAGAAAAGAACAAACTGTTTGAGATCGAATAGTTGAGTCTGTTTCGTGGTTTAAGTTTATTGAGATATTTTGACTGTCGTATGTCATCAGGTAACAGATTGGGAAGGAGATGAAATCAATTTGGAGGAAGATCAATCTGAAAGAAGGCTGATTTTCCCGGCAGGTGGTGTTATAGCAAGCAACGGGAATTTACATAATCACCTTCTTGAGATGCTCTCTTCTGCTTCACCAGCTCTTTGATTCACAGCTACAACTTTTATACACCTGTGAAATTATTTACATATGGTCCTAAGATTATTCTTATTCTTACACAGCAGATTATTTATACTCTGAGTAGAGAGAGACAGGTTTTTAAATTTTTCAATATATTTATACATACAAGTTAAAATTTTTATCCATAGATATTTGTTTGGGCCGTTGATGGACCCTAATTTAAATTTAAATAATTTTGAAATTGTATATACATCATACATGCATATTGGATACTAACGTGAGGAAATAAAAAAAAAATTCAACTTTTTTAGTAGTTTCTCGAATGAATGTCTTTTTATATATATCTTTCCACTAAATTCTAAATCGTTATTTTAAAATCATTATTCATTAGCATCATATGTTTGAAACGAACCTCTCCAAGAATAGAAACCACTAAGTTTAATAATCCAAATCTATATTATATAGATACTTTACTAAATAATGTGGATGTAATTTATCTGGCACATCAACTCCACAACTGTTCTGGATACCGTGTCGCATATTATATAGTTTTATACATGTACATATTGATAAATGTCAATATACATAAATTAAATGAGTAAACGTATGTATGGACTCTCTTGGGTCTTTGTCTTTCATCTTTCAACTATTTAGGATTCAAAGGGCTCTTTTCTGACGTAACCATAATCTCTGGAATGCGACGATACATAATTAGTCTCTACGTACGTGACATGATTTTATTTTAGCATAATATATACTAAATCAATCATATCTTATATTAAGATAAATTAGGTACGTATCGCATTTATATACTTAATATGTGGCTATAGCCTATATGTATACATGCTGTTACTGCCTAACTCTTTTGTCCATGCATGTGGCTTCATTACAGCGAGTATTACGAGTTATAACTTCGTAAAGTATTAAGTACTACTAATCGTTGAGAATATATCAATTGTTATGTAACATGAACCACGTAGGGTTTTATAAATTTCGATCAAAATAAGTGAAACCATTGATCTTTTTCGCAAAATTTTGTGATTGCACATGTTATTATGTTTAAATCCTTCAGAGCTCTTAAGTGATATATTTATCCACAGTGGGTTTGTGATCGACACACACATGTTCGTATATATTTAATTCATAATATATAAAGCCTCAAGACAATATCAACAAATAAGATATGGTCAACTATATATATCATATATGTAGAAGTAACACGTAGGCTACTCTTTGTGGCAAATTCATGCGCAAGCAAAGCCTCTAGATGTTTGACAGGTTACTACCCTAATATAGCATCACTAGCTATCTTCTAATCCAAATCAGTTATTTATTCCTTTTGTATTCGTTTTCATATGGTAAAGTAATCTAATCTTATTATTTGTTTCTTATAAAATAATAATACTTGTTCTTTCAACACAATTTCGCACTTTGTGAAGCTCTCATTTGTCGTTAAACCCGACAGCTTCGTGAGTTGCAAGGAACGAGACATTAAACATAATGTACTTAAAATTTAGGTTTTAGTATAATAACATAAATATGACAGTGATTTCGATCATTATTTCATTCAATATATGCTTGATACATTTTAATCATACTAATTATATATACCCTCCTTCCTGATTATTGAAGATTTTGTCTATAAATTAACTATATTTTTTTTTTATAACAAACCCCTATGTATTTTTATTACTTGGATGCTTTTGTTTGTTGGAATATCCGAATGAAGTTTTCTTTGCCTGAAATCAAGAGCAGAAGGGCATATCCGCCAATAATATAGACTCCAAAAACATTAATTCCTTTAGTAATTCATCATAAACGATAATTAGTTGGTTCTAGAGTTTTAGCTACTCATAATAATGAGAACCATTAGGAGAAAAGTGCTTAATTATTAGTCAAAACTCGAAAGTAAAGACGAGCCGTACAACTCGTGGTTCGGATAAGGGTTATAAACTGATAATCAATTAATCTCTGATTTTATGCCATGCAAAATATAGCAATCAATTTCTTAATAATCTAAAAAATGACTAACTACTAGCAACCCAATGAATAAGAAGAAGGCGATATATAACAGCATGAATTTATTTTTTTTGGATTTTGGAAGCATGCATCACAAATTTACAAAAATGTATTCAAAATCTCACGTAGAAAAAAACTAATAAGTCCAAAAGATTGGTCTTCGGTTTTTTTTTTGCTGGAGAAAGTTTGATGGGATAGAGAGAGACAGAGAGGAACAGCTAAAAATATGCTGTTTATGTATTTACTACCTTTTATATCTCTCAAAGTCACAAATTTATTGCTGGCTAATCTTTTTATTTATTTTATTTTTAAACATTAGATTAGCTCATATGAACCCGTTGGGAAATAAATTGTTACAAACCTTTCGTGCCCACTGCTGCCTAATGTGGCTTCTCTAAAATAAAACAAAATTGTAATTCTATTTTTAAAATATTTTTTTTGCAATTAATATGTTTTAAGGTGGACATAATTTTTTATTTTTTATTTTTTATAATTTCATAAATACCAGACGAATCCAAAATTATTGATATAAGTTTGTTTGTGCGTGAGCATGACTTAATTATTAAATGCACTTTCCCATAGAAAGATCCTAATTTCTCTTTATCAAAAGATATCTTAGTAAATTTATCAAAAGATATCAAATACCATTCTTTTTGGATCTTCCAAATAATCCCGGCAGTAGATCTGGACCCAATTTTTTCTGATCCTTCGATAAAAAGATTCATTTTTTTCATAGTCTTGTATATTTTGGTGTGGAAATAATTTTGAATTCTATTAAACGGTTTTTAATAATAATTTGGAGGGGGAGGGGGTGGGGGTGGGGGGAGGGGGGATGAGTTTTTTGTTGTTAGGGAACTATTTCGTTGAGTTAGAATTTTGGTGAATACAAATAGGCTACGTACTTAATCGTCAAAAAGAAAGAAAATACTATAAAAATTTGATTGTAATAGTTTTCTAGTATTTCTTTAGTTTTTCCGTATATCAACATTATAAATACTTGATCTAACATATAGCTATATTACAATTTTGAAAAGATATATTTTTAAAATAAAAAGTTCCATCTTTCCACAATAATTTTCCCTTAATAAGTATCTACAATATTGATAATCGCCCTAATAATTTTAGAAATCCTATCCATTGGTTTATATGTTTTTTTCTAGGGAAAAAAAAAAGTCCAAAGGAAAAGAAAGGAGATGGGTTGAAATTGAGAGTGAAGGTACGTGGCATCATAACTTAGGTGACAGCTAATTTGATTATGTGAATATGAAAACAGCCCCAAAGCTCCGGAGAGCGACACTCCTCTCGACGACGTCCATGTCCCTTTTTTTTTAAGATTATGTGATTGCTTTGTTAATTAAATATCAATTGATTAGTTTAAAAGTATCATCACACACATTAACTACTTATACAGCATTTTCCACTACAAATCTCCCCCAAAATCACGTGTTTCGTATAGTATGTACATTTGTCTACCGTCTTTATTAACAATATTAAAACACAACTTATCAAAGTTTCTATTTCCATAGAGATATCTAAAGTATAATAAGAGTCTAATAAATTACGAAAGACCTAATCAACTGAAAACTAGTTAATCCGAAACATATCACTCGAATTTAGGGTATTAGTTGGATTGACGACATTTATTATTTAAAATCAACAAAGAACGTATAAATGATTTATATACTGTCTAAGTAGTTACCTTAAGCACATTATTTCTCACCCAAATTACAAGTTTTGTACTCAGTGTCACAATAGATTCACATGCACAATCTACAACTCAATTATAATTGGTAGTATATGAAACATAAAATACATACAAAGTACAATTCAAAGTAAGTTGTAGGAAATAAGCATTATAAAAAGATGTTTAATGTTTTTTCCTTAATACTATATAATATAGCATGTATACATCCAAAAACTCTTTTTGACAAAAAAAAGATTTAAAACTATATTTTGGAAGTATAAAGGACACGTAGCCCAATCGATGAACAGAGGACGGCACCGAATCAATTTGACTTCAACATGTTTCCTCATATTGATAAGAGTCTTATCTCTTTCCTATATATACTTCATACTCCTCTTCAAGGACCCTACGTCTCTCTCTCTCTCTCTCTCTTTCTCTGTTTCTTCATTTTACTCAAATCATTATTATTTCCTTGTAAAACGTTTTGACTTCATCTCGAGTAAACAAATAATCAATAAGAATGGGAAGATCACCATGTTGCGAGAAGAAGAATGGGCTCAAGAAAGGACCATGGACTCCTGAGGAAGATAAAAAGCTCACTGATTATATCAATATACATGGTTATGGCAATTGGAGAACTCTTCCCAAAAATGCTGGTTAGTGTATATACATCTTCATTATTACATTTTACTCATATTTTATTTACTCTTCAGTGGTAGTACTTGTTTTCTAATGTTTTGCTTTTCTTGTTCTTGAATCTTGATTATAGGGTTAGAAAGATGTGGTAAGAGTTGTCGGCTCCGTTGGACCAACTATCTCCGACCAGATATTAAGCGTGGAAGATTCTCTTTCGAAGAAGAAGAAACCATTATTCAACTTCACAGCATCATGGGAAACAAGTGAGTTTTATCTATATTGGTTATGCAACTGTATATAGAGAACTATATGTTAAAACTATATTGCATCAAATATATATATAAATCAAGATTCTGACTTCGTTTGGTTTTGGTGTAGATGGTCTGCGATTGCGGCTCGTTTGCCCGGAAGAACAGACAACGAGATAAAAAACTATTGGAACACTCACATCAGGAAAAGGCTACTGAAGATGGGAATCGATCCAGTAACACATAGTCCACGTCTTGATCTTCTTGATATCTCCTCCATTCTCAACTCATCTCTCTTCAACTCTTCGCATCATCATCAACATATGAACATGTCGACGAGGCTCATGATGATGGGAGATGGTCATAGTCATCAGTCATTGGTTGACCCCGAGATACTCAAACTCGCAACCTCTCTCTTTTCAAACCAAAACAATACACACGAGAACCAAACCGAAGTAAACCAATACCAAACCGGTTACAACATGAGTAGTAATCAAGAATTACAATATTGGTTCCCTATCATGGATCAATTTACAGAGTTCCAAGACCTCATCACACCAATGAAGACAACGGTTCAAGATTCAACGCCCTCCTTGCCATCAAACTACGACGATGATTATTCAAAATCTAACTCCGTGTTAGAACCTTTTTACTCCGACTTTGCTTCGGTCTTGACCACACCTTCTTCGAGCCCGACTCCACTAAATTCAAGCTCCACAACTTACATCAATAGTAGCACTTGCAGCACAGAGGATGAAAAAGAGAGTTATTACAGTAACAATAACATTACGAGTACTTCTGAAATTCCTGATTACTCGTTTGATGTTAATGGTTTTCTACAATTCCAAGAAACAAGAAACCATTGGGATAGAGTTATGTAAAAAAAAAATTGTATTTGGTTATTTAGATTTTGTTACATATCCAAGATATTATTGTTTAAACAAAATATATTTATGAGTGAAGTAAATTCGTCAAAGGGAAAGCAACATCCCACCAGTAAACAATATATTAAAAAAGCGCATAACATTATTGTTTTCTAATGATGAGAGTTTCTATTATTAGTATCAATCTATCTACTCTCTTTTGTTTAATATTTGTGGTGGTCGGCTTATCATCTTACATGAATGCATGGTCATCGTATCAATTATCAACGATCATATTTAAATATGATTCGGAAGATGTACAATTAAATGTTACTGAAATAGAAAGGAAGATAGTGAAAATCATTGACTTATGATCTCTTGTATTTCTTTGAAGGATAATTCACATAGTAATAATACTAAAAACTTTGAAATGGATGATGGGACCTTAAAGTCAATCAAAAATATATATTCAAAGTCAAAAATGTAATAGAGAGTATATATAGAGAACAAAACAAAGAAAGATGCACAAATTAAGAACTTATAATTAAGTTTGATCATAAACCACAAACAAGAAAAACCTGACCTAAACCGGCAAGACTGGCCGGCGGGTGAACATGAGAAGTACACACTTAGCGTACGACGTGTGTGTAAGTAAAAGTAAAACCATATTGGGTCGATCACGGCCACGGGAAAGTATGCAAATGACCAAGGCGCACGTGTCATACAATGCTGCACAAGTAAGCAATGATTTGCGAAAAAGAGTTAGTAATCAGAAAGTTTTATTAATTGAATTCACGGTTTGTTTTTGTTGTTTTTTTAAGCACCTTTATGTTTTTACACGTGGTGTACGGAGAGCCATCTGAGAGTGGGGACGCGTGGGACAAAGAACGTGTAAACACGAACCCGGTGGATCGATCTTGCTTTAAGTTTGTTTTAACGTCGGCATTTTTAGGATGAGCTGTTTTGTGTTTGACTCTCTCGCTTCCCTTGTTCTTGTTTTTGTGCCTTTTGTTACATATACATGTAAACTAAAGTCCACTTTTGTTTTTTTCCAGTTTGAGGTAATAATTAGCTAAAAGTGTCCTAAACTTTACCATTTTCGCATACAATTGCGAAATAATAAAATCCTTCCATGACATAAAATTTGTACAAATTTTATATGGTAGAGTTGGTTTACGAAACTTTTAGTTTTCCTGATTAATGATATCACTAGCTATACTTTTTTTTTTTTGTCATCGTCACTAGCTATACACAGTCTACGCATGCATGTGGTGATCTCATATGGAAGATAACTCAATACAATATTTCTCCTAGTTTACAATGTTTGACACTAAAAAAACATTTCACTGGTCACGCATCTATTTTGAGAAAAAAATGAAAACTGTAGAACGTTATCGTTTATAGTAGTGTATATCTTGTTACTAAACATCTTTTTAGCCTAACATAAACCTTTTAGTGTCAATGTAAGTTGTTTAGGTTTGTTGCCTCTGTTGAGATCATTACATGATTTGATAAAATGTTTTCGTAATTGTGTTAATATTTTTGCTTTTTCTTTTTTTTGGGGTCGAATATCCCTTTTGCCAATCAAACGCACAAAGTATAGACAACTTTTTTCTTTCTTTGGGCGGTGGCATATGAATCATTTGGACTAAAAAGGCAAATCTTGTTTTACATGATCTCAAAATTTGGGTTTTCGAATTTAGTCCCATACGACCAACAAGAGAAAAAAAAAACACGTTTTGTCCTTGATGTACACTTGTGTAGTGTTTTTGTATGACCAAGATTTGCAATGGTGGAGTTTCTTATACCATTCACTTTGCCAAGCTTAATTCAAACAGAAAAAAAAAAATTCGTCGTTTATATACGGCTGTATTTTACCATTTCATTTATTTTGATACTCCATTATACTATATATCTAAGTAGTATCATTTTATGAAAACGATTTAACAAACAATAGTATTAGACTTTTTTTTGGATTTATGTATATTTTCTGACTAGACCGGACAATGTCTTAAGCAGACTCATATTTTATCTAATAAGCTAATGTCTGGAATTCCGAAGTAATAATCTTCAAAACTTTAACATATCAAACTTTTAAAGATTTAATAAATTAACCATATATATTGGACAAAAGACTTCAGTACTGGAGTTGGTCTAACATTGATTAACATGACTTTATTTGGGTGTGGACCAAATGATTTGAGTAACTATATAGATAGTTTAATCTATTCTTATCTAGGAGAATTGTTAATAATCTAAAATTTTGTTACCAAGTGACTAAACTAATCAGAAAACTCGACAAATAAGATATTGAAATTTTAGGCTAAGACATTACAAGAATCTATTTAATGTCGCCAGCCCGAAAGTTTCTATAGTCACATGGCCACATGGGTTTATAAATATGTTTCTTCGAACAGTGCGTTATTAATACGTCATAGTGACTAGTGAGCAATCACACTTCCTAATTAGTTTTGGATATATCGGTATAGAGAAAAAAAAAGTCTTAGAAAAACAAATATGCGATTTAGCTACCAAAAACTTCAATCATTCCACTAAACGACTGACAACCTAACTATGAGTTGACTAGATAATTTCAGATCGATATATACAACGTTAATCCAACACTCAACAGTATAATACCAGAAACTTTATTATAAAAAAAAAACAGTAGGTGCATGTGTTAAACCATGTTAATGTTGACTTAACATTGAGTTAAGACGAATTTATCAACTCAAAGTTAACGTTGGATGATTAGCTCAAACTTTGAGATCCTTTCGTTTTATTTTATTTTTCCTTTTTTTTTTGGAGTTTAAATCCGATAAATTACCATAAATTGTTTTCTATTGGGTTACTAATGACACTAATGGTTTATATTTACAAAGATAAATTGTGCTAAATCCAAACGGTTTAAATTCATTTTTCATATTTATATTAACATTTTTGAATTACTTTTTTTGGAAAATAACATTTTATTTTGTATTATTTACAACCGTAAACCCTTGTCATTTCTTGAATTATAAAAACTTAAGGGATTAATTGTTAAAAACATTTCCCAATTCGATTTGTTAAATTATAAAATCATTACCGCATTTGATTATCTTAGCCATAAAATCTTAGCTTCCATTAATCTCATTTATTATGGTGAGATCAGTTTGTTATGCTAAGATTAAATTAATAACCCAAAAAAATCGCACCTAATCTCGAGGAATACAAAATTTCCATTTTTATTATCTCATTAAAAATCTTATATATCCGTTACATGAAGTAAAACAATAGAACCGAAACGGTAGATAATTGTATAATCTCTTTTTGGATACTCGAGATTCTGAGGAGTACAAAAGAGAACTTGTGTTCATGATCACAGAGAATATTTGCTTTGAATTTACTGAAGTAGTTAGAGCTACTTATGGTTGGTCCCAAAATGCCACAACTAAAAAAGGATTAAACAAAGTATATATGTATATACATAGTGATTATTAATTTATGATATTATTGGGACTATATTTACATAGGGATTTCAAAAAAACTTATTATCTTATTATCTTATCGAATTTGGTTAATTTTTACATTGGCCCGACTTGGGACTAACAAAATTTATTAATTTATAGTGTTTATTAATTTATAGAGTATTAATTTATAGATGTTTTACTGTACGATGTTGTCGAATTAGAGATGATCTCGTGTAGTACACAAAAGTTGGGTGTTTCGGTGTAGTACACACGAACACCGATCATTAGTACATTACACAAACTTTGGAATATTTTAAACTTTTGATTAAGAATCGTGTAATGTAACAATGTTTTTTTTATGCATCACATGAAAACGAAAGACACATTTATATATAAGTTTCGTTCGTTACAATTTTATATTTTTATGTACAAAAAAAGATATCGGAATCTCAAGATATACTACATAATCTAGCTAGTACGGTTTGTAAATAGTACACAGTAGTACAAACAAGCATTGTACTAGCTTTTCAAACCAACACAAGCATTGTTAATGTCTTATAAACATCATGTGTTCTGTTCATTTCCAAGGTGATCGGAAAAGCAACAAGATATATATTTTCCTGGATTTGAATGAACATCATTGAGTGCAGCGTTGATGTAACTTCGTTTTTTCTTTTGTTTGCTCCATCTATTATGGAAATGGATTAAAGCAATTTACACCAGCGTTGCGCTCAATCATGTTTTTCTAATTTCAGGATTCAGAAAACATTAACAAGAGGTATGTATGATCGTCTCTTATCTTCTACTTTAGTTAATTATATCATCTAGAATTACTAGCTTATATATATGATATAGTTTATACAGTATTTTCAATTAAAAAATAAATTCCTAAGTAATGTATATATGTGATTTGACATGTATTGTTAAGGTTTTGCTATTCATTAATTCCAGATTTATGGCTGATGTTGCAAGAAAATCAGTAATATATATATTAGAAATAATTATTCTGTAATACATTATACTCTGTTTACAAGGATAAGAACACTTAAAGAAAGGTTACAAAGCAAAGAATAATAAAGACGAAAGCAGAAATTAAGTAAAGTGAATCAATAATGGATTTGGAGTGATCATTAGAAAACTCAAAAGGCATCCTTCTTACCAATAAGCCATAGCCAATCCAAAGCCACTCCTGCAAATATCCCTCCTAACAAAAAGATCACCAGCAAGTTCCCTAACGCATTCTGCTCCGGACCCTTCACAAAAAATCATAACCCAAATTTTGAACAAATGTGAGATTACTTGTCTTGAACGCAAATATTGTATTTAATTTGTTTATATTTGCGTGTAAGTAATCAAAACTTTATATAGTATAGTGTTGTCTACAATAGAAAAACACAAAACAAAATTGTACTCTTTTCAAATTGTAAACACAATTTGTGTTTGATTTTCATTTTTTTCCACTTTGAATTTACGTTCACGTTTACATGTATTTATTTTTGAGAATCAACAAAACTTTAGTTTACTAGAGTTAACAATATATATGCAAATCCTAAAGATAAACGAAAATAAAACATCAAAATCTTTAATCTCTACTAAGGAAAAGGTTGTAATATAGATTACCTTGTATCCTTTAGGAGCTGTGGTGAGAATGCAAACAGTGAGGTGTCCATTTGTCAATCCCAAAACAGAAATGAGCATAATCATATATCCTTGATCACCATATTTCGCGGTGAAGTAGAACGCCGGAATGAGGAGATAACGCGATAAAACCGCGACTGTGATCAATTTTCTGTTCTCAATCTTGAGCCATTTCATCAGGGGTGTGTACCTCCCAACCAGATCCCAACAATTGTACATCGCTATTAAGACAAGCGCGTACCAATCGCCTAACCCGTGTTGTCCTGTGTTCTCATATAAGAACCCGGGAAAAATGGATAATGTACATACGTAGATGAGGAACAGATTCACTGCATAGTCTATGTTTTGAAGCAACAGCTCTTTGTTGCCTAGCCTTTGATTCTTGGAATCATCATCAGTCTGTATAGAAGAATCAAGAAGCTAAAGAGTGTTAAGTATTTTTGAGAAAACAAATCAAGAAAGATAGATTCTTGAGGTATTTCTTTAAAGAAACCAACAAAAAGAAGAGTCTTGAGGAATCTGAAGTTACCAATTCTGATGTATTTTGGATACCAGCAGCAGCAAGATCAGCAGAAACAGTTTTAGAACCTTCAGAAGCAGCTTTTCTGCGGTAATACTTAACTATGGGGAGTTTTGGGAACACATACGCGTATAACATCACACAGAGTAACTCTATGAATGTTGAGATTGCTAAGAATATCACTACATAAAGAAAAGAAGTAAAACAAAGAACTTATAAACACGTTGATGATTGTAGTTTCTATCGGTTATAAAGATTTGAAATCTTCAAAATTTTAACTCACTTGCTCCTTTTCGTAGACCGTCATTTGATTTTTCAAAAGCTGCTTTAGTTATTAGCCTAAGTGCCGATGTTAGCGCACCAGCTACAGCCAATCCCACAATGAATGACTACAAACAAGCAAAGAAGATGTATATGAGTATTTATATCTTGTAAATCTTGGTTAATCTAAACTGGTTAGTCTAAACCAAGATTTTGAATCTGCCAAAATGTATAAACCTGCACTAGTTCAGGGCACATCAATGACAAATCACCGATCATTCCTCCTTGAACGGTAGCATCCGCGAGGCCAAAAGAAGCAACGACTGCGCATAAACCGATATACGGTCCGACTCCACCACGTCCTTTTGTTGCCAAATCCAACTGGTTTAATTTGTGTTTATTTTTTTAGATTCTTGAGTCCATAATAAAAATCCCAACTCCATAACAAATATTAAAGTTACTTTTAAGACTTGAAATAAAAACTTACGACTATGAGCAAGAATGTGGATACTGTAAATAGAATGTAACCGATCAGGTTACGTTTTCGAGTATTGATTTTCGATTCGTGGTATGCGAAAATCACGATCGTTCCAAGCGCAAATGGTTGGTAGACAAGTGTGAGTACTCTTGAAGGATGATAATCCTATAAGAAGAAACATAAAAAAAAGGTTTCTACTTGAATATTTTTGTAACCACCAAAATTCAAAACATCAAATTTTTAGAATCTTGAAACAAAAACCGAACCGGGAAAACGTGGTAGTAGTAATCTGTTATAGTGAGCATACTGTTCCAAGAAACGAGAGATCCAATTCCAAGAATACAGCAAACAACCATTGCTTGATTCTTCCCCTGTTTCAAATTAAGACATAAACAAGAATTTTGGTTTTTAAATTCAGAAACAAGATGAAAGATTTTGGGATCTGAGTTTTGGATTATGTAGAAACTTACCTGAAGCCTCTCAGGAGCTTGGTTCTCATGTATTTCCCCCATTTTCAAAATAGTTACAGAGAGAGAGCTCAAAAGAACATAACCTTGTTTCAAGATTCAAGAATTGGATCAAACACAAGCTTATGGTTTGTTCTTTCTTATCGTTGGGAGCAAAAAAGCTAAAGATCACTTACTTGGAGGTTAGCACATGTGGATGTTGTAGAGTCAACGAGTTTGTTGATTATATATTACGAGGAGAGCTTTCATGTAGATTCAATACAAGATTCTTAAACCATGGAGCAATACCTTTATAAAAAAAGGTTTGACAGCAAATACGGCAAAAATAAAATAAGACTCGAAAAGAATTGTAGATAAAGAAACAGAACCAAAATGATAAAAGAATCCAAAGTGTGAAAGCCTTCTTCGTTTCTATTATTAGACTAGTCCACTTGAAGTCGATGTACATACTACATGGTCTGAAAGCGAATAATTTATTGGAGAAAAATTCTTTAAATAGTTACATATCTTTGAGATCGGTCTTAAACGTGTTCATAAATGGGGAAAAAAAAACTATGTATATAAGAAAGAAGAAAAAAAAGATAATAGATAAAGAATCAATGAGGATTGGACAAGAGAGGCAATGAAGTAAAGTCTTCACCTCGAGTTGATTCTTACGTTTATCTCTTCTTTCTTTCTTTATTTCTTATCTAACCGCTTGAGCATTTAAGAACTTCTAAATGTTTCTTAACGAAATAAAATTAATTATTTAACAAAAATGTAGTAATGCAATTAAATTTTAATTTCTTTAGAAAAAGAAAGACAAATCTATATATCCGTCAAAACTTTGTATATTCTCCGAAAATAAAATGTTTTGGCTAGAGAAATTGCGGATAGCATGACGATAGATGGTAGGTTCACTTCCTATTTAGCGTTGGAAAGACTGGACCACTATATATGATGGGATTGAGTTTTACTTTCTTTGGCTCTGTTTTAAGTTTTAATTTTGTTGATGTGGTGTTTGAACTTTTTAAAATGTTTATTTTTTGATATTTTGTTGTTAAAAGACGTATTTTATAGTAAATATTAAACCCTTAAAGACAATTAGAACCATCTAAACCCAAATATAAATCATATTTTTCTAATTTAAAAATTGGCAAATTCATAAAATTTTACAAAAAAACGGCAAAAAAAAATTGCCATTGAAAAAAATCCTTATCAAGTAATTAACTCGGAAAACACAGGATCTGTCGACTCTTTATTGTGCATTTCGCAAGATAATTAACAGAAATATTACTATACAAAGAATATTCAAAAAGGAAATAGGTTCATGTAATACACAATTGCCTTTATTTCTGCCGGGAATGCAGGGTCATGTCTTAGAGTCATGAAAAACATATGTATCGTGTGATTTTTATGAGTATTTTATATTTTAATCTTATATTAAAAAAATAATAAATATTTAAGATTTCAAGACATTCACCTTAAACTCTATAAACACTAAAATCCTCTTTTCTTTTTGTATACACTTAGATTAAATTAATTATAAAAAGGTTTCAAATACTCATACTAAATATCACTGAAAATGATAGTCTTAGAATTACTTGTTTAAGAATTTGTTTTCGTTGTTTTTCTTATTTTTATTGTCATTTTACTAATAAAAGCCTATTTAAAATTTTATTAATAGAGGTGATCTTACACTTTATTGGTCCGATTTTGTGAAATTAAATGCAAAAAAAGATTTTAGGACGAATGTTTTAATAATCGTTTGAAGGTAAAATACTAAAAAAAGTGTATAAAATTATAAGAAAAGTGTAATTGTGTCAACTACACTACATTTTTGTATTTATAAGTTATGCAAAAAAACAACTAAAATCTTGTTCTTTTTCACAAATATTTATAAAAACGACGTTGGTGTTTGTGCGCTTAGCTGTAAATGATCGTCGACGATGCCCACCGATTTGATGGGCCTCGCTTAAAGCATAGTTGAAAAATCTTATAAAATGTGTTCTCTAAAATCATTGTGCAGCTTTTAAAATAGCTAGGACCTTGGTAGCACTTTTCACGAATAACTTCCAATATACATTATCTATAAAACTTTTTTAAAAAAAATTGGACTTGAGGTTCACCAAAGCCTATAAAACAGATGTTGACGACTTTGAGTATTTGAATTCTTTTTTAGGTAGACCAAGATTTGTAGTTAATTTAAGAAGAAACAACATCAGTGATGTTACAATAGTTAAAACTGGCAAAAAATTAGTAGTAAAATATTCTTGGCTAACACCAAATGTTAATGAAATATTTTATATCAGTCTTTTTTTTTTGGCAAATGAATATTTTATCAGTTAAAACTGGTAAAATTAGTAGTAAAATATTCTTGAGTAACACTAAATATTAATGAAATATTTGATATCTAAACTGAATAGCAATTTGTTTTTGGGGTGAATCATGGATCTAAACCAAAATCAATCCCCAATGTTTGCATAAATCTAGACTTTTTGCCACTTTAAAGTGTTTATAGTGGTCAAATATAACACTTGCAACATGGCGGAACAAGTGAACAACTACACACGGTCATTATGATCACTTGGTTAATATATAGAATCAATTTTAAAAAATCTCTTAAAAATAGTAGTACCACTCGTATAAGTTGGACAAGTAAAATACAATTTTGCCAATTTAGTGAAGCATCGAAATAAGACTTCACTTTTGAAAGGTTTACGTGTTAGTATTCTCTTCTTCTCTTTTTTATGCAATAAGTAGTTACGTTCGAGGCTTCAAAGCTTCTTATTTTAAGCCATAATAGAGGGTTGGGATTCACCAAAATTAATTTTACTTGTACAAAAGGATGTTGTGAATCATTTGGTGATCGTGAGAAACTCAAAATGCATTATTATTCTTGCCAATAAGCCATAACCAACCCAAAGATATTCCTACAACAGCTCCTCCTAATATAAAAACCACCAGCAAATTCCCTAATGCATTCTTCTCCGGACCCTTCACAATATACAAAACATGAATAAACATGCAAGTGTACATAACACAACATTTTTGTTCTTTTTTAGGCTATTGAGTTTCTATGTCATAATACTAAAATGTGAACTTGGTTATAAGTAGGAAAGATTAGATGATATATTACCTTGTATCCTTTAGGAGCTATAGTCATAATGCAAACAGTGAGATGTCCAGTAGTTAATCCCAAAATAGAAATGAGCATCATCATCCATCCTTTATCACCATATTTTGCTGTGAAGTAGAATGCCGGAACGAGGAAATAGCGGGACACAACCGCAATGGTTAGTGCTTTTCTATTCTCAACCTTCAGCCAATTCACCAGCGGCACATACCTCCCGACCAAATCCCAAAAATTGTACATGGCAACTAGGATAAGCGCGTACCAAGAACCTAAGCCGTGTTGTCCCGTGTTCTCGTATAAGAATCCAGGAAAAATGGATAATGTCAAAACGTAGATGAGGAATAGACCCATTGCGTAGTCTATGTTTTGAAGCAATAGATCTTTCTTGCTTAGTCTTTGATTCTTGGAATCATCATCAATCTGCATAGAAAAATCATGAAGCTACAGGTAAAAAAAAATAATGTATACGAGTGGAAAAACTTATAAAAAACGAATCAAGAAAGATGTTGTTATTGATGAATCTTTATAAGGAAACCAAGAAAGAAAGTTAATATTGAGGAATCTGATGTGTTACCAAATCTGATTGGTTTTGGATACCAGCAGCACCAAGATCAGCAACAACAGTTTTTGATCCTTCAGAAGCGGCTTTTCTTCGGTAATACTTAACGATAGGGAGCTTTGGGAACATATATGCATATAACATCACGCAGAGAAATTCTATGAATGTTGAGATTGCTAAGAATATCACTGAAAAAGGGAAAATAAACAAACAAACAAAGCAACTTGAAACACTTCGAAAATATTGTGTTTTGAGATTTTCGAAAAATGTTACACTCACTTGCTCCTTTCCGTAGATGGTTGTTTGATTTTTCAAAGGCAGCTTTAGTTATTAGCCTAAGCACTGAGGTTAGAACACCAGCCATACCCGAACCGGCTATATATGACTACAAAGAAGCAAGAAGATGTATATTCAGTAAACACCGGCTCATCTAAACCAGAGACCCTGAATATACATGCTAAACTTGATAAACCTGGATGAGTTCAGGGCACATCAAAGATAAATCACCGATCAATCCTCCTTTAACGGTAGCATCCGCGAGGCCAAAGGAAGCAACAATTGTGCATAAAACAATATAATGTCCGATTCCACCTTGTCCTTTTGTTGACAAATCCAACTGTTTTTGAGGTTCTTAGTCTTGGTCCATAATTATAATCTTGTTCCATAAGATAGATAAATGTTGTGATTAAGACAATTTAACTGATACTTACGACTATAAGCAAGAATGTGGATATTGTGAATAGGATGTAACCGGTCAGGACACGTTTTCGAGTACTGATTTTCGATTCGTGGTAAGCGAAAATCATGATTGTTGCAAGCGCAATTGGTTGGTATACAAGTGTGAGAACCCTTGAAGGATGATAATCCTAGCAAGAAACATATGAAAATTGATTACTAAAACAAAAAGATCAGATCATTAAAAACTAATTTTGAATGTGAGAATTGACCAAAACAAAACGGAAACCGAACAGGGAAAACTTGGTAGTAGTAGTCTGCGATTGTGAGCATACTGCTCCAAGCAACGAGAGATCCGACTCCAAGAATACAACAGACAACCATTGCTTGATACTTCCCCTGTTTTTTTTTTTTTTTTTTTAAATTCATACATAAACAAACAAGACTTTTGAGTAAAGCCAATAAAAGATTCATGATCTGTGCTTTGGGTTTTGTCGATGCTTACCTGAATATTTTCAGGAGTTTGGTTCTCATATCCATCCGCCATTTTCAAATAGTTACCGTCTAAAGGAGAGTTCAAAAAGAACGTAACCCTGTTTCAAGGTTTCAAGATTTCAAGAATTGGATCAACTATATATATATATATATAAGATGATGTTTATACTAAACTTTATTTGGGGAGCAAAAGCTATGGGTACTTACTTGGAACTAAGCACATGAGCGTTTTGCAGAGTCAACGAGTTTGTTGAACTTATTACGAGCAGAACAAGATTCTTATTACAACATGGAGATGATTTAGTAAGATAATTATTAGATTCTTAAGGTATGATATGACAGCAAATTTGAGGAGATAAAATAAGACTCAAAAGGTTGGCATACCCCCTAAAGGGTCTGATCTTAGTTTGGCACTTTTTCTCTTTTATTTCCATTATTGTGTAATCGTCCCTTTACGTCAATTTAATACGACCATAAATTTAAACCCAAAATAAAAGAAAGAAAAAAAGTATGATGAGAGGACTCTAAA